CATAAAGAAAGTGAGAAGACAAAATTATATATCTCCATGTGTTCGGGATGTCCAAGCAAGGGGAAGCGGCAGGCTTCCAGTTCTGGCCAATGAACAACCATCTCTAAATTGTTCTCCATGGCTAATAAGGGGCCTGCATTAGCTGCAACATATACTCCATACATAATGCCGGCACAGAGTGTGGGTTTTCTATCTAAAAAGCCCCTGTCTTCTAGCTTTTTCATCAAGTTCGAAATATTTTAGAGCATCGGATACATTTTGTAGCTAATTTGTTATGTTGTTCACACCCTTCGTTGCCTCGCTGTTGGTAGCCCTGCCTTTGGCTTCGGCCTCGGCATGCCGTTGCTTTCCTGGTGATGCTTGCTGGCCTACCGAGAATGACTGGTCTCAATTAAACAAGACCATTGATGGCCGCCTAGTGAAGACCGTGCCTCTTGGCACACCTTGCCATGCGCCGAACTACAACGCTGAGACTTGTGGAGTCTTGAAGGATGGGTGGCTACTTCCTGAGGAGCAGTATGTGGCTAGACATATAGAGTAACATGAAAGTGCCAGTGCTGACTATATCTCTGACAGCTATGGATCCTCTTCCTCAATTATGGCACCATTCTTTGCTGAGGGTGTTTGTGATCCATTCCACCCTGTCTCAAAGCCCTGTACATTGGGCAACTATGTGCGCTACAGCGTGAATGTCACTAGCCCTGCCCAGATTTCCACCACTGTGAAGTTCGCAACGAAGCACAACATTCGTCTTGTTATCCGTAACACCGGCCATGACTACAATGGTCGGTCCACTGGTGCTGGAGCCCTTGCAATCTGGACTCACCATCTAAAGGATCTGTCAATCCACGACTACAAGGACAAGCACTACTCCGGAAAGGCCATCAGCATGGGCGCTGGAATCCAGGGTTTTGAAGCCTACGAGATCGCCGAGGAGACTGGCTACCAAGTCGTTGGCGGCGAATGTCCCTCCGTTGGTCTTGCCGGTGGCTACACCCAAGGAGGTGGTCACTCTGCACTCAGCTCCCGCTACGGTCTGGGCGCCGATCAAGTCCTAAAATGGGAAGTCATTGACGGCCAGGGCAACTTCATCACTGCTACCCGCGATAACGAACACTCCGATATCTTCTGGGCTCTTAGCGGCGGCGGTGCTGGCACTTATGGCATCGTCTGGTCCATGACCTCGAAGGCACACCCTGGAACACCCGTCTCCGGCCTGAACCTGACCTACACGAACGAGGGTATCTCGCAAGATACCTTCTTCGGTACAATCGAGACCTTCCACTCCCAGCTACCCGCTATCGTCGACGCAGGTGCTATGAGCATCTGGTACTTCACCAATACCAGCTTCTCTATTGCTCCAATCACCGGCCCCAACATCCCTGTCGCTGACTTGGTGGCGCTTCTCAAGCCCTTCACCGACAGCCTCGATAAGCTCGGTATCAAGTACACCACGGTTGCGAAGCAATACGAGAGCTACTACAGCCAGTTCAAAGGTATGCAAGGCGTCATCCAGGTTGGCACTGCCCAGTATGGAGGCTGGCTGGTTCCGAGATCGGTCGTTCAGAACAACAACCACGCCCTGTTGACTGCTTACCGTGAGATCACCGAGGCGGGCGGCACGTTCATTGGTGTCGGCTTGAACGTCTCTCACAAGGTATCTGGAGATGTCCACAACGCGGTGCTCCCTGCTTGGCGAGAGACCCTGATTGATACTACATTGACGACTCCATGGGAATGGGATAATTCTGCTCTCATGTTGGAGCGTCAGCGCCAAATGACTGAGGATTTTATTCCTAAGCTGACTGCACTTTCTCCCGCCTCTGGTGCTTACATGAATGAGGTATGTAGACTGATATCTAGCTCTAATTTCCTTCATGTGTACATATGCTTATCGTTTTTGCAGGGCGACTTCCAACAACCCAACTTCAAGGAGGTGTTCTATGGTACTAACTATGATACCTTGCGCAAGATCAAGGCTAAGTATGATCCGAATGATATCTTCTACGCCAGAACTGCTGTCGGGTCTGATGAGTGGACTGAGAGTGAGGATGGCCGGTTGTGTAAATCGGCCTAGGACGCAGGCACTGGTTATATATTGAAAAGTCGTCTGCAGGTTTCAGGCCTTTTAACGTCCTTTTCAGCCCACTGTCTATAGGACCGAGAAAGGCGAGGAAATATCTAGGAGAAAGACCGCTAAAAAGTATATCTGACAAGACTGCCAAATAGGCAGCACGGGCTTGCATAAGCGGCCGGATATGCCAAGTTCTTGTTTATTGAATGTGATACTGAATAATGTAGCAGAGGTGTAGACCGTATCATTTATGAGATTGGATCGAAGTATACTTGAATGCCTACCACTGCTAAAATATGTAGATTTTCAGGTTGTTGTCGAAAGGACCTACCTGTGCATTTCTACCATACTCCAAGATCAATGCAACGACCCTGTTGTATCATATCACAAGGGACAAAATCTATTAAACGAAATGTGCGCTAACAATGAGACCATATGTTGAAGATGAAAATACATACCAATATAGATGCAGCGAGCATTATCTTGAGTAGACGGAATTGAAAATCCCGAATAGAGAAAGCAACCACCTATGTAACATCGTGATCCACCACCCATGACTATATATATTGATGACTCTACGGCGAAAAGAGTGTCAAAAGAAAACGGTGTTGAAACGCTTCCGATTCACATGACTACGCCTAGAAACCAGCGAGGTTGCTAGGGTGTTTGGGCAAGAGTATGAATCCCAGGTGATCTATATCCTCGTGATCAACACAAGGTTTCTGCAAAGCGAAGGGTATGTGGGGGGAAAAAATGAAAATGAAAAAAGCAACCACCCATATTCTGGTCGAAATGATCCTCATACTGGTGTGTGGGTGTGGGTGTGGATGTGGGTGTGGATGTATAGGGAGGTCAACTGATGACAGTGAGACCAGCTGAGCAGCATATTCCCTAAGGCCAGATTTTCCAGATGTACATTCCAAGGATTGTCATTGGATCTCATCTGGAAGCAAAAGGTTAAGATCGGCACGAATGATGGCAGGTGCGGCCTCTGCTGGAGGAGCATTCGCTCACGGTGAAGGCGTCCGTGGGGGTTTCGTGGGGTTATAGAGATGGCCGTCTGGGAATTTCGAAAGAACTTTGAAGATTCGATGAAACCCTGGAGGGCTGTAAAGGAAAAAAGATCTTTCAGAAATCACTGAATAATGGCTCGTACTTCTTCTTTAGATCTTCCGTGTAAATGTTCATGTTTCTGAGGTCGGGGGGATCCGGGTATTCTTCAAAGTTACCCGTGTCTGCCGGGTGGGATAGGCGGGGAACTATAGGACCTTTCACCCGACGATAAAACAAATCATCCCAAATGACATCTTGAAAGAATGGATGGGACTTGACTCGAGTTGAGCCACCAGAGATGTGGCCCAGCCGCTCCGATGGATTCGTTTTACAGAGCAGGGAGACGATATTCTGTGCTGCGGCCGGCATATTCGGTGGGAAGCGTAAACGACCTTCGATAATCTGCTCGTAGATTCGCATAGGGTTCTGGTCCCAGAAGGGCGGTTGTCCGATCAAGAATTCATAGATCAATATTCCAAGAGCCCACCAGTCCACTGCAAGTCCATGGCCACTGTTTTGAATGACCTCTGGAGCCAGGTATTCCGGTGTGCCACATAATGTGTATGTCTCACGGTTATCGACTTGCTTCGCAAACCCAAAGTCAACAAGCTTGATGTGACCATCGGCATCCAACAGGATATTCTCCGGTTTAAGATCTCGGTAGGCGATTCCATGGACATCGTGTAGGAACTCGATTGTCATTGTTATTTCGGCCGCATAGAATATCGAAGTTTCTTCATTGAAGCGTCGTTGACGTCGTAGATACGTGAATATCTCGCCTCCAGGGCAATAGTCGAGCTAGTAATTCGTCAACACCCTATGCTCAACCACGCATATTCCAAGTTTTTGAAAAAAAAAGTGCCATACCAGCATGTAGAGGCATTTGTCATCTGAGAATGATGCAATCAGGGTGGTGATAAAAGGGTAGTCAATGACCGCCACGAGGGCCTTCCGCTCGTTGCGCACATGTTCCACTTGCTTGAGTTTGATCACTTTCCAGTCGGAATCAGCACGAGTTATCCCTCGCCACGCGCAACGTTAGACAAAGTGGCGCTTACCGTCCGCCTTTCGAAGAATTTTCAACGCATAAACTTTGTCCTTGTCCTTTTGTTCCTTTAGCCTTGCGAGCCATACCCGAGCGAAAGTGCCTATACGATAAAAAAAGAACATGAACAGTCAGACGCGACGCTTTAAGAGAAGTATGAGATAGGCCATGCGCTGACCAGTTCCAAGAGTCTTGATGAGCGTAAAATCGCTGACATGCAGACTTCTCGACGAGATGCACAGTTGCTTATCCTCCTGGCGCTCGGTGACGAGAAAAGGGTTCGAAGATCGCGGAGAATGGCGGATGGACTCGACGAGCTGCTTCTCCTTCTGATGCAGGTTTGCATTTATCTTAGAAAAGACCATCGTTCCTGGCGCCTCATTTGGCGAATGTTGCACTGCTCCGGTTGCCATTAGAATGGTCAAAGATCATGTCGCGGTTAAAAGAAAAAAACGTTTATGGATACCCCGTTAGCGCGCCACCAATCGGCAACACAGGTTGACTCCGGAGTTTCAGATCATAAAGAACATTGAAGTTCGAGTGAAAGAACCTGGGGTTTCCGGAATAATCGCGGGGCAAATAGTTGTAAAAAGGAAGTTCTGCCCTCTGACGTATATATGGGGGCGGGGCTGAACGGGAAGAAACTACGGTGATAAACCGGACTCTGAGTAAGCTCTTGGCTTTGATTTGATATATATCATTTTATTGTACACCGGATGTTATTCGATTCAGTCCATTTCTTGATGTCTGGCCATTATCCTGGTTACAACTTTAGTGCACATCTATTGATTGATGTCGCTTTCGAGCTCAGGATGACGGGTATTTCGCTCAAGACTTTGAGTTTAGGATCAAACCAACAATCAAGCTGAGTCATGTTAGTATCTCTAAGAATATAGAATCTGAATCAGAAACATACCCATAAAGCCCAAGAACTTCGCCGAAAATCAGGATAAGAATCATTCCCACATAAACTCGAGACTGTTGCATGTATGCTCGAACACCCTAGAGTAGCTGTTAGGGCTGAATAGTCTCACATCGCCGCGCATATAGGGTCCTTACTGCATCGCCCACAACTCCAATTGTATAACCAGCAGCCACACCTGTAAGACCAACTGACATTCCAGCAGCAAGATGCATGAAACCTCTGTACAGTGTCAGCTTGTGTCAAGGTCCATATCCACCCAACACTCGAAACGTACGTGTACAAGCTCATGTTGGTTGTTGGGCCTACTGCTTGTGCAATGAGAACCGCGATAACGAGACCGTAAACTGCAATGATACCGGACATAACAACGGGGATGAGGGACTGCAGCCACGAACTCTGTTAGCTACCGTCTGGTCCATCGAACCGGTAAACCTGGATGAATGGTTCCTTACCTTCATGATGAGATCAGCCCTGTAGGTTCCCACACCTGCAATTCCAATGCCGGACTTTGCTGTGCCATAAGCTGCTCCTGCCGCTGTGAGATTGTAAGCTGCTTGTCCCAATACCTAGAACCTAGAGAGCTCCATCCATGAGAGGTTCACGTACACCCGAAGATCATCTGCAGGAAACTGTTAGTGTATTGTTAAATCAGAACAAGCTTGTAATTAACTCACTGCAGCGGCGATACCGGCCTTGTATAGGAAGCCCGTTAGTTTATCAGCTCCAATGTTCTCGGGACCTTGAACTCACGAAGGAGAAGAACGGAGCGAACTTGGGCGCAAGTTCGCTGTCTGCCATAGTGATGTTGGAGCAAGACTAATCTTGCAAATCAACAGAAGAAATATAAGAAGGAAATGAGAGCTGTTTGATACAAGAGGAGGGAGAAGTTTGGCTGTTGATAGGTTTCGGGGCTTTGGGTGTTCCACATGGCCACTTCGCCCGCCGTAGTCCACGCCATTGTCCCGGGTCCTGGGCGGTGACGATACCGTACTAGTTGTGTTCGATTATGAGTGCAGATCAGGAGTCCCTGTATTGAAATTACCATACCGGCCTCGCCGTCACCTTCGCCATCCTCGTTCTCCTGGTCCCCTCCCCCCCAGTTTATTACTGCATTTTCAACATCCAACAACCACCCCCACCTTCAACAACTCCCCTACTTTTATTACTCACCTCAAGTCTCGGAGGATGCCGAGGGCATGAAATCGGAAGGAGCCCTGACTTTGTTGCGCTCACAGCTCCTGGCGCTTTTCCATTAGTACCGTTTGATATCGCCTTTAAATTCCCCATCCGAACTGAGGGGAGTTATGGAATATTGAGTCCCATCAGTGCTTTGAGACAATCTATTATTTCCTTCGAGGTCACTGCATACGGAGCTTTTTTCTCTCTCGTTCCACATCTATCTTTTCTACTGTTGTCCACGATTTTGAACAAACCTCTTGCGACGCCCTGAACGCTCTCCACGATCAACCCGGATACCCCTTTCGCCTGCCTCGCACCCCGGCATAGACATACCTTGCGTACTTGGTTAAAATATCGATAATCGTCCTTGATCGCTATAATTCGTGAACATGGCGGATTTGGGGGGCCAGCGTAGCCGGAATTACCGGCCTCACGGACCCGCCTCGTCTACGCAGCGGGATGCAGCGTATTCTGACATATTTGGAGGCGCACCACCTGCAGGACGCTCTCATACCATGAATTCGCAGACTCCGCAATTCTCCCAGGGTCGTGCTCATACAATGTCGTCGCATGTCGCACAACCTCAATTTCAGAGACCGCCGCCGCCGCCAACACGGCAGATGCCGAACGGACACGGACCGCCATTAGGAGCACCAAATGGATATCCTCCACCCCCACCTTCTGGGCAGTACCAGGCCTACAATCCAGGGACCTCCGCAACAATGTCTTCACATCAGCCTCCTCGACACATTCCCCCTGGTACTCAACAACGCTTTGCTTCCTATCCTCGACCCCAACGTCTCGAGTCCAGACCAAGCCCTGCTCCGCAATACCCAGAATCCAGGGATTTCAATCGCCCTATGCCTCCTCCTGCGCTAAATTCCGATTCATCCCGGTCAAGATCAATGGCAAGACTCGGCGGGCCGCCTTACCAACCCCCGCCAAGCAACTTCAATCACACCTCCGCAACTGCCTCTCGCCGTGAACAGTATCATGCTGGAGCTCAGGTAACGCAGCTCGGGCGTCCTGTCCCAGAAAAGCATGCGAATGAACGAGCTATGTCTATGACTTCCTGGTCATCGGATCGCGATCCGCATATCATGAGCAGTGGAAGGTCAATTCCACACCGTAGACCTCCGTCAGGTCATGATCACCAGATTCCGGTAAGGTATGACTCAATGATGCAACCCAGTCCGATGCAACCCACTCCCGATGAGTATGTTGGATCTCGTCAGCCAAGCGATGCATCCCAAAGATCTCGGACTATGTCCATGGCATCCACTGTTGCGCCCGATCGGACGATGAGCGTTCAAAGCCAAGCCACACAGAGCTCCGGTGGCAAAGCTACGACCCTTGTTTCTAGGGATTCGCAGCGGAAAGTTCCGGTAGTCTATCCTGCTCTGCTTTCTCTTGTTGCTGAGGTTTTCAGGGAGAAGATTTCACTGGGCGAACGACAGAAGAACGGCCTTTCGTATCAGAATGCATTCTCTGGTACTGATTCGGTGGACTTGATTGCCTCCATCATCAGAACCAACGACCGCAACCTAGCTCTTTTGCTGGGTCGTGCGTTAGATGCTCAGAAGTTCTTCCACGATGTCACATATGACCACCGTCTTCGGGACGCACCTGGAGAGGTCTATCAATTTAAGGAAACAATGGGGGAAGACAAGTCAACAATCGAGGTCAATGGAGTGTTCACTCTGCTTACTGAATGTTATTCTCCCACTTGCAACCGGGATACACTCTGCTATTCCATTGCTTGCCCGCGACGACTCGAGCAGCAAGCCAGGTTGAATCTAAAACCTCAACCGGTACTAGGAACATCGGAATCCAAAACTGCTCTGCCTCCCGATGATGATGACGACAATGATAACCAAAAGCTGTGGATTAGCACGGTGTCCAAGGAGGTTTCTGACTCTGTTGATGATCACGAGAAGAAACGCCAGGAGATTATCTTCGAGGTAATGTACACAGAGCGTGATTTCGTCAAGGACTTAGAATATTTGCGAGATTTCTGGATGCGCCCATTGCGCGCTGCTGGAACCACCACCCACTCGCCAATTCCGGAACATCGGCGTGAGAAGTTCATCCGAACTGTGTTTGGCAACTGTTTGGAGGTTCTCAAGGTCAACAGCGCTCTTTGTGAAGCTCTGAATGCTCGGCAAAAGGAGAGTCAAGTCGTTCACACCATTGGTGACATATTCTGTCAACATGTTCCTAATTTCGACCCTTTCATCAAATATGGTGCCAACCAGCTTTACGGAAAGTACGAGTTTGAGAAGGAGAAATCATCAAACCCAGCCTTTGCCAAATTTGTCGAAGACACGGAGCGTCTTAAGGAATCTCGGAAGCTGGAACTGAACGGTTACTTGACAAAGCCTACTACTCGTCTTGCAAGATACCCGCTTTTGCTTGAAGGTGTTTACAAAAACAGTGCGGATGGCAACCCTGACAAAGAAGATATTCCGAAGGCCATCAAGCTGATCAAGGACTTCCTTTCGCGTGTCAATGCCGAGAGTGGCAAAGCAGAGAACCATTTCAACTTGGTCCAACTGAACGCTGCTCTGAAATTCAATTCTGCGGACTATGTCGATTTGAAGCTTACAGAAGAAAATCGACAAATGATCATGAAGATGTCATTCAAAAAGACCACAGCTGACAGCTCCGATGTTACTGCATATCTCTTTGACCATGCCGTCCTGCTCGTTCGCGTGAAAACGGTGAACAAACGTGAGGAATCACGAGTTTACAGGAAACCTATTCCTTTGGAACTGTTGGTAATCGCTCAGATGGAAGAAGTTATCCCACGGCTGGGTATTGCCAAAAGGCCTTCATCCAGTCTCCTGTCTAACAAGACTGTCATCAACAACCCCCCTCCTGCCAAAGATGGTGGACTGCCGATCACGTTCAGACATCTCGGAAAAGGTGGTTACGAGCAGACTCTCTATGCCACAAACGCTGCCACACGACGAAAGTTTATCGAAGCGGTAGAGCAGCAACAACACAAACTGTGGGAGCGAAATAGCAATTTCTACAACAAGACGATCCTGAGCGAGGGCTTCTTCGCAGCAGTCAACCGTATCAACTGTCTTGTTCCGATTGGTAAGTGAAAATTTTCTTATTCGGATTAAGCCTCACTCGCTAACTGCTACCAGATGGAGGCCGGAAATTAGTGTACGGAACTGATAATGGCATATTTGTTTCTGAGCGATGGCCCAAAGACAAATCAGCAAAACCAAGAAAGGTTCTCGAGGCTACCCAAGTCACGCAAATAGATACTCTGGAAGAGTACCAGCTGCTATTGGTTTTGGCAAACAAGACCCTTTCCTCTTATCCCATGGACGCTCTCGATCTCGTCGAGGGCCAAAACAGCATGGCAAAACGGCCCAAGAAAATTCAGGGCCATGCCAACTTTTTCAAGGCAGGAATTGGTCTCGGTCGCCATCTTGTTTGTTCAGTCAAAACATCGGCGTTATCAAGTACAATCAAGGTCTATGAGCCGATGGATAATCTGGCAAAGGGAAAGAAGAAGTCTGCTGTCAGCAAAATGTTCCAGGGCGGCCAAGATACTCTTAAGCCATTCAAGGTTTGTATCTCCGCTTGCATGTTTATGGTTCACCTCACACTAACACTTTTACTCAGGAATACTATATTCCAGCAGAATCTTCTTCCATTCACTTCCTGCGTTCTACTCTGTGCGTTGGTTGTGCGCGTGGCTTTGAAGTGGTCAGTCTAGAAACAACAGAGACGCAGTCTCTCCTTGATCAGGCCGACACGTCCCTAGATTTCGTGGCACGAAAGGAGAACGTCAAGCCCATCCATATTGAGCGTATGAACGGCGAGTTCCTACTCAACTACAGTGATTTCTCGTTCTTCGTCAACCGCAACGGGTGGCGAGCCCGTCCGGACTGGAGGATTGCCTGGGAGGGCAACCCGAACGCATTTGCGTTGTCCTACCCTTACATCCTGGCCTTCGAGCCCAACTTCGTTGAAATTCGACACGTTGAAACGAGTGAATTGACACACCTCATGACCGGCAAGAACATTCGCATGTTACATAGTTCCACCCGCGAGGTATGTTATTTCCAGGGTTTTCTTCCCATGGAGTCATCAAGCGCTAACTAGTTTTGCTAGATTATCTACGCCTATGAAGATGAACAAGGCTATGACACTGTTGCCAGCTTAGATTTCTGGACCAACAAGCCACAGGCAGCCGCTTAATACGCTACAATGAACCCCCGTTTGACATCCTTTAACGCTGTCATCCGCATGTCTCTTTCCACAGAGCATCAGGATTTTTTCTTCCTGAATTTCTCATTGACACCCGCCCTTCACTGGATGTGTCATCCCATCACACTCGCAAAGTCATGACTGTATGTATTGTGTTGTGTCTACAACAGTTCAGCCGATCATCCACTACTTCGCAAAAACCAATACCTCCCTTTCAAGGTTTCCTCGACATCAATCACAATAAATCGGGGGTTTTCCCGTCTTTTCTACGCAATGTACAATGGAGCGCAAATACCACTTCTTGCGTGTCTGCTTTCTTGCTTTTCACCGCGTTTCTTTTTTCTCTTTCACTTCTTGCTGATTGCATTTAGTCCTTTTTCTCTTCTTTCTAAAACTTTTTACCTTTCTTCTTTAGCTTTGCTATGTTTCCTCCCGCATGGCCATATTCTCGAGACAGTTTCGTTCTACCTGTATCGTTTTGAGTTCGAGACATCTTTGTCTTTATACTTAGCAATCTCTAATGTGAATGGCAGTTGCATTTCAGATGAGAATTGCAGTAGATTTAAGCTTAGTTGGTAATGTGATTAAATCTAATCATATTCAAACATCTTTCCATATTAGTTTTGTACTTTCTTGTGCTGCCTAAATGTACATAGTAAATAACATTATCAATTAATGAAATATTAGGTATCATCTTCCTGCCGAAGTCCTAAATATATATTTAGCTAGACAAAGGTTGAGCCACACCAACAGAATATGATCGAGCTGTATATATATATACTTTGACAGCTTGGCTCTAGCTACACAAACTAAAGCATGCTGCTATATATATTACATAGGAATTGGCTACAGTAGCAGAGCCTAAAAAATGACCGAAGCAAGTAAGCTAGTCAGGTACTTTTTCTTCCTCAATTACTATCAGGGGCTAGGAAGACAGGCGAGGAGAAAGGAGAGATAATGAACAAGACAGGAGCCACGAACGCAAAAAAAACAAGAGAAGAGGGAATATTGCTGCGCTGCGGACTTTGGACAAGAACAGGAGAGGAAGCAGAGAAGAGGGAATAGAAATGACACAGCAAGATTTCACGGTGGCAGCCAGGATGTGATGGAAAGAAAAAAAAAGATAGGATGATCTGGACACGACGGAAAACCTGTGCTGGAAAGGAGGCACCGGGTAGAACGCGAGCGAGAGATATATCGGTGCAACTCGACTTAGTTCTTCCATGAAGATAAGAAGCATTGCACCCACAATTCGTGACCGGAGTGCCGTAATCTATGTTGAGGCCCATCCCCGCAAAGGTAAGAAAAGAAGAAAAAAAGCTATTAACGTGAATAAACAGTCAATATTATCCCATAAACAAAAGCCAACTTGTTGGTGCCATAAAATTCCATGTTGGCACAAACGGTATCACATTGCGAATCGGCGCCCCGCTGAATGAGCCGCATCGTCGACAGGGTATATCTAAGCCTCTCCATTGGCTGCTTCGCCCATACTGCCCTGGCTTTGCTGCTCGCGCTGCATGCGAGCCTCAATCTCTCGGAGCTGGCTCTCGCGAGCCAAGAGCTCCTGTCGCTTCTCGGCAATCTCACGCTGTACCTTGATTTCAATCTCGCGGAGCTTCTCTTCCTCGCGGCGGAGCTGCTCCTCCTTGAGGCGGACAGACTGGTTGGCGAGATCCTCGGGGTTCATAGCAGAATCATAGCCACTACTCATCCGTATGTTAGCATATTGACAGATATTTCTAGTATCAGGATAGACGTACCCAGAGCCACCATCGACGCTCTTGCTGAGCTTCTCGGTACGGTAGTTCTCGTAGAGGAAGTCGTGAGTGATCTCCTTCAGATCAGCCAAGTGGCTGTGGAGCAGAGCGCTACGGATAGCCAAGAAGTCCGAGTGACGAGGGTTCTCAACCTCAACGACACCCCATGGGTACTGGCGGGCGCGCACTTTCCGGTTGTCAATCTCAACAAAGTCTTCGGAACCGACAATGGCAAAGGGCATCAGTCCACGGAGCTCGGCGTTCTCCTCCACAGTGTCCTCATCATCCTCCTCAATGTCGTAGGGGAAGTTATAGACAGGGATGCGGTAGTGTTCGATGTCCTCCATGATCAGCTTCTTGGACTCAGCCAATTCGGCGGGGGTGAGCGAGTCGGCCTTTCCAATGACGGGAATGACGTTGACACGGGGGGAGAGACGCTTCATCAGTTCAATATCGAGTTCACGCAGACCGTGGCCGGTGGGTGTGATGAAGTAAAGCAGCACGTGCACTCGGTTATCCCTGAATCGAGGGTTACGCTTAATTCGCGACTCCTCTGCAAGAATATCATCGTATTGGCGCTCAAGATAACCGACAATCTCGCCGAAGCTGTCCAAAAAGTCAGTCCATGATGATCCGTCGGGTATCTGAGGATACATGCCTGGCTTCGTTGTCAATCTGATCACCAAATCCGGGGGTATCAACGATGGTCAGGGAGATGCGGGTGCCTTCCTCGTCCAGCTCGAGCTCTGACATCTCGATGTCAGTATTGATAGGTTGATACAAGCGCCGCGCGCGGGGGCGGTTTCAACTGACCGACAGTTACGGGCTTGATGCGGACACCCTCCTCAAGGTGGGCATTGGCGGCATCATCGGCATCCTTGCCCTCAAGAACCTGCTTGCCGCAGAGAGTGTTGACAAAAGTGGTGCGGCCTGTCGCAGAAAGGAGATCCTGTTAGTCGCTGAAATTCGAGTAATTCATTTCAATCATACCTGTTCCACTGGCGCCGCAGACCATCAAACAAAACTGGATTCCCTTCTTGACATTCTTCTTGCGACGAATCTTGATCTACCCGGAATGAGTACGGGCATGCAATTAGCTTGGGAAACTTTTCGAGACGGAAGCTCCGAATTAAAGGGGAATGCACATACCGCGTTGAGGGCTGACGACATTGTGAGCTAAAGAAAGATTAAAGAATTGTCCGGAGAAAGAAGTCCAAAGCAAGGAATTAATAAACGAGGAAGAAGGGTGTGAAACTTGGCTCTCCTGAGAGTCTGGAGAGAGTAGGGGGGGAAAGACAGTTCGTGTTTCCCCCTTTCCCAAATAGGCCAATCACGGGACAGCTCTTCTTCTCCAGTCTGTTACTTTTTACTTCTACAAAGCTCTCCCGAGGTCTTGATCAATCACAATAAGTGGATGCTAAAAAAAAAACAACAAAATCTAGTGAATTGACAATTATACATTGTATTATTCCCCCTATTTGACCATGATCTTACCTCTATTCCCAACTGGCATCAACTCAGGGGTTGATCAAAGTGGGTCGTTGCTGGCAACCGTATGATTACATAATTTACAGCCTGAGGTGTCTATGTGGATCTTTGCCCGCATTGCTCTTATCGATTAAGCTCGGGGGGATGATCCCAGACATCCTGTGAAGCATTTGAAGCATTTAAACTTGGAAAGATCATTAAGATCAACTATTTATTAGGGTTTGGGGGACTTCAAGACAGCTCATATCTCTCATTTCATCAACAAATTATTTTCAGCTATGCTTCGTTGACATACAGCAATGAATACCCGTCAATCTATCGATGAGTCCATCGGGCCATATTCACTCTCAGCAACATTCAATCATGATAACAGCTGTTTCTCAGTGGGTCTGGACACAGGATTTTGTGGTAAGAACCGTTTGAAGTCAGCTGTCAGGAGAATATTGGAAGAAGCTGGCTCATATCATGAACTATGGCTAATAAACAACCCCAACAGTATATAATGCCAACCCCTGTGAGCTCAAGGTTTTGAGAGGTAAGAGCTTTATCTCGAAGTGAAGAACGTACTGAATATGAAAGAACTTAGGCTGACTTTATTTGCACTTAAGATTTCAATGGAGGCATCGGGGTGGCGGAAATGCTTGGCCAGTCCAACTACTTAGCTATTGTCGGGGGTGGAAAGAATCCTAAGTTTCCACAGAATAAGGTAAGCAGTCATTTCCAGCACAATTTGTGAATATATATGCTCACAGACACCCTTAGTTGGTTATATGGGACGATGCCAAACAGAAAGCGGCCATCACTCTTGAATTCCGCACCTCCGTCCTCGGTGTTCGTCTCTCCAAATCTAGAATTGTCGCTGTTTTATTAAACAGCGTGCATGTCTTTGCATTCTCCAATCCTCCGCAGAAGCTCTCAGTCTTTGAGACCTCCGACAACCCTTTGGGGTTGGCCTGTCTTGATCAAAAGGTGCTGGCTTTCCCTGGTCGGTCCCCGGGCCAGGTCCAAATGATAGAGCTTGAGACCGGCAACATCAGCATCATACCCGCACATAGCACACCGTTGCGTGCTATGGCCCTGAGTCCCAATGGGAAATTGCTGGCGACTGCGAGTGAGTCTGTAAGTTGTCTTGAGCTATGATAGTCTAAGGATGGATCATTAACATCTATACAGGGAACTTTGGTTCGTATATTTGCTACAGAGAATTGCACAAAGCTGGCAGAATTGCGACGCGGTGTTGATCACGCAGTGGTATTTTCAATTTCCTTTTCGCCGTCCAATACTTTGCTGGCAGTAACATCTGACAAATCAACTCTCCACATCTTTGATATCCCTCACCAGCAACCCGCTGCTCGTCGCAGTCAGTCACCATCATCAGCATCCGAGGAAGCAGCTCCAAGTCACAAATGGGGAATCCTTGGCAAAATTCCCCTGCTACCTCGTGTCTTCTCGGATGTTTATTCATTTGCCAACGCACATTTTGAGATTGGCGAGCAAGCCAACCTGAGCTCGCCGCATGTGCCACCAATCGGGTCATCATTTGGCCGGCCTCAAAAAGGCCTTATAGGCTGGTGCGATGACCAGACTATCTTGGTAGTCGGGTCTGGGAAAGAGGGACGTTGGGAGAAATTTGTGCTTCGAGAGGGCGAGGAAGGAAAGAGATATTGTCTGCGGGATGGCTGGAAAAGATATCTTGGCTGACAGAAGAAAATCCCTAGGCTGTCACAACAACGGGGTAGTATATCGCACAGCAAATAGCGAACACCTAGTCCATAGTACGCAGCTAATTGGTACCATCAAGCTCGAATTGGATCGCTTTCTGGACTGGGAAACACTCTTTGGTTAGAGTGACCCAAGCTGCAAGGGGATAATCTTGGCGAGAAAGTTGTGTGTAGCGCTGTAGTTAACCTTGGAAGACTTTATAATGATATCTCGCATATCCTTCAATGGCGGCGATCATGCTTATCCCGATCACTTCGGTGTCTTCGGGACTCAGGGGAGCGCGATCTTCTCGGCGATCGGTCCCTTCTGGATTTTTCTCCTCTCTCAGATGACCTGTGGCGCGATCGCCTCTCCTTATCTGGAGAACGATGATCTCGATGTCTCCGCTCGCGAGGAGAACGGGAGCGGTGTCGGCGGTGATGCCGGGTTGACCGTTCTCTACTGTCATCGCGTCGCCGAGACGACTTCTTAGTGCTGTTCCACAACTGGATTGCAGCGGCAACCTCTTCTTTCTTCTCCTCGATGAGGAATTCTTTCATCGGATCTTCCTCGTCATGGTTCCAAATTAATTCTTCCAGCTCCTTCTCTTCTTTCAATATCGGTCGGCGCTCTTCTATTTCGGTTGCCTTTCTCCGGTCGATTTCCTTGCCCTTGCTCTCGGTGATAACCGGATCTCCCATCAACCTGGCGACATTGTCCTGCTCTTCCTCCTCATCCTTCCGCTTGTAGCGTGCATGATCCACCCGAAGCAAACGGCCCATGACAGTTGCACCACCAAGGTTATCCACAGCAAGATCTGTGCTGCGCTGGTCCTCGTATTTCAGAAAGGCAAATCCCTTGCTCTTGCCCGTTTCTTTGTCGCGAATCAGGTTGACATGCACTGGTTCTCCATATTGTGAAAAGATCGCGACAATGTCACCTTCGGATAGATCAAATGGGAGTCCTCCGATGTAGATGTAGGCTGTGTCGCGGTAGTCTGCATGCCATGACGCCTCTGGAGGTCTGTAAGGTAATACTGTCAGCGGGGTAAAGAGCTTTACGGGAGCTTCATATCAACTTACATCGCATGCTCAAGCTCGCGCTTATTGAGCGCCTGGACCTGGCGAATAGCATTCATGATGAAACGTATGGAAGAGAGGAAGTTGAAGGCTCAGAAGTTGGAGAGAAAGAAATGTGGAGACCCGCGGAACCGTAATAATCAATTGTTTACGCACCTTTACAATGTAAACTAGCCCCCTGCTCGACGACCTGCCAAAACCAAAAAGAATTCCCTCTTTTCTTTTAAACTGCAATCGAAAAGGCTTTCGCGAAGTAGGGCTGCTTCACGTGGGCCTGCATTTATACCAGATCTCCCTCGGGATTCCCCTGACCCGCGACGCTGCTTCAACTTTCTCCCCCTCCGCCTCCACTCAACATTTCCACGCGCAAAATACTTCCGCTGTGCTACGGAAGAGACAAACATTTGGAAGGGTGAATGCCCTGTGAGGCATGGTGGGACTAGAGACGATGTCTTCCAGTCCGAATCCCGGGTCGAAGGCGGCCGGAACGAGCAGTCGGCCAACTAGCAAAGATGGCTCCAAGAAGAACATTTGGTCCTCTCTATTAGATACTGTTGCCAACGGCAAGCGCTTGCCTGAGAAGAACTTGCTAGTACTAGGTTAGTACTGGTTTCCTTTGAGCATTACAGTTCTATTCAACCTCATCTCTGTTCCGTCTTTCAATTCTTGGACTGTCGCTAATAGCTCGATAGGTGGCACGCCGGACAGCCAAAGGGAATTTCTAGATACCTTTTCCGCCGACACGTCTGCCGATCCTAGCTTAGCAAACGACAAACGGAAAGGCAAAGGAAAAACGCCACCAATCGCCAACCAGTTTGCGCTTGGATACACATATCGAGATGTCCTCGATGCTGATAAAGAAGGTACATGGAACATTATCTCTTTCCCTAGCTTTTGGTATTCTAATACTCTTCTCGCGCAGATACTCTCGCCCGCGTCTCGGCCTACCTCCTGTCCGAGCCTTCTCCATCATTCGCACCTCTCCTCAAACCACTCCTGACCCCTAAGTCCGTCCCGGAAACGCTGGTTGTCATCCTGATGGACTGGTCAGACCCATGGACGTGGGTTCGAAGGCTAAGGGAATGGACCCGTCTGCTACGTTCTGTGCTCGTTTCGCTTGACGATGAAACCAAATTCGTTATGGAAGAGACTATGACGGAGTGGCGCGATCGCAAAAGGGGAATTGATCCCAGCTCTGCAGCTGCAGGCGGCATATCAAACTCAAGCGGTCCGGTCACGATACCTCTAGGACCAGGCGAATGGGACGAGGGCCTCGGGATCCCAATGTGTGTTGTCTGTCAAGGGGTACGTAAACTCTTATCTCGAAATCCATTGTCGGTAAACCTTTGCTGACTTGACTCGTCGGTGTTCTTAGGCGGATAAGATCGAAAAATTGGAGAAAGATCACGGATGGCATGAAGAGCAGTTCGACTTCGTTCTCCAGTTCCTTAGAACGATTCTCCTGAAGCGTAAGGGCTTTATCCCCTGTGTTTGGCCATTATCGGCTCTTTTCTGACCCCAAACAGACGGCGCATCACTCATCTATACTACCCCATTCCTTGCAAACTCTCTTCAGGGCCTGATTCATTCTTCTCTGGGCATACACTCTCTTTTGAAAAGAGAATCATTAAAACATAATGTGATCGACCGAGACAAGATCCTGGTACCAGCCAACTGGGATTCGTGGGGTAAGATCCGAATTATTCGGGAAGGATTTGACATGGAGGGGGTATCGACGGCGTGGTCAATTGAGATCCAGGACCCTCCCGAGTCAATCTACAAATCCACAGACAACAAGCAACCGAGCGAGAACGGCCTAGCGGAAGAAGGCACAAGTGCGGTGACCATGTTCGAACAGACGATCATTGATCCCAAACGAGGCGCAGCCAACCCCCATGGCAACACGACCAAGATCGAAATCGAGACCACTGACCTCCAAGATTTCTTCGCAGCCCAAGTGGGGAAACTGGAAGATCTCAAAGCCAAGGATGAAATGGAGAATTCAAACCAGCCCACCCCACAACTGGAGATGTCTCCCATGGCCGACGAAGGCAAAGTAAACGACCACATCGGCCCTGTACAGTTCAACATGGGCGGCATCCAAGTGGACGCCGATGATATGTTGAAAAAGCTTCGGGTAAGTACCCGACCAGCGCGTCACCCTTCCAACCCTAGGACATAGCTAAATATTACCCTAGGACCGCGAGGCTAGCCGAACCCTAAAGAAAGAGAGCCCATATGCAGGCACCGGTGGTAATGACGAGAAAGCGCACAACCAAGCCTTGGCGAACTTCTTCGCTGGCCTCGTCAAGAAACCTGGCTCCAGCCCCCGTGGCAGCCCCTCGGCTTGATTCATTCTTTTCTCACTGTATTTTAGTTCTTTGTGGCGTACATAATACAGAGGCCGGAACTCTCGCTCTTGGTGATGGGCTGGGTGTTTTGCTGTATGGAGATGAAAGAGCCCTTGGGAGACCTTTAGCTGTGAAGGGACAGTCGCTCTGTTACTTAACAGTGGAAAGAAGTCCCATGGCTTTTCCACAGGTGTTAGATAATGATACCAATATGAAGTCTGTGATTTGTTCTAAGTGGCTTCCCGGCAGTATGAAGGACGAAACAAATAGATATGCTCTCTATTTGTATGAATTCAAAGCATGGCCTAAAGGCTTCATATATTCCCAATGATTATCCTTCTAGACCCCGAGAAGAAAAGAGTACATCTACAAAGATATTTGAAAAGAACCGGAAAAACATCGGAGTATTATGCACATGTAACGTTAGTTCTACAAAGACAGGCCATATACGCAACTACTCTTGTTCTTAGTAGAACGAAAAGTTATTTTTTTTTTGCAGTCTATTTAGCTATTATATTTGATACAGCACAATCCTCTGAGCAAGAGCAATCTTCGATTTCCGAATTTTACCCAGCTCTTTCCAACGCTCACCAGTTCTCCCACACGGCATCAGGCAAGACCTTACGCATAATAGCCCAGTGCTTGAGCGCACTGCGATCCTGGTACTTATGCAATCTTCCGACCTCCTTCGCCCACAAAAGTTTCCTGCCAGCCTTAGGCCAATGGGCAAATATGCCAGCGTCAATTTCATGCTCGGGAACAAGGTAGTTTTCACGAGACTTGCTGCGCAGGAAGTCTGCCGGGACAGGGTCACGGAATTGAATCGGTGTGTTGGAGCTCTTCTTGCAGAACAGAACCATGTTGGTGAAGTTAGTATCTTCCTCATCTCCGCCGGGTGCTTCGCGGAAGATGCGGCAAGATGGGAAGACCGCCCTGATGGTGCGGACGACAAGACCGGTTGGGTAGAGGGTCAAGTCACCGGCGTAGTTCTGGGTTTATTTGTTAGTATGTGCGTACATGGGGGTTTGTTGTGGTGTGACTCACGATGGCAATGGCACCGTCTTCCTTGAGGAGCGAGTGAAGGCCAGACAGGAACTCATATGTGAAGAGTTCGGCGGGCTCGGCACCTCCAGTGAATACGTCATGGACGATGTAGTCATACTGGGGTGTATTTGGGGAGGATGCGGCCTTCTTGACGTATTTTACGGCATCTTGAATGATGGGGGTGTGGTTTGGCGGAAGGTTGAAGTACTGAGTAGCGAACTTGTGCACCACAGGGTCGATTTCAACGATGGTGGTTTCAACACCATGTTTAATGAGTGCAGAGGGTGTCGTGCCAATTCCAAGACCACTATTTCCTGTCAGTAAACTGGGCAATTGATGCTTTTAGTGATTCTTACATGACCAGCGCTTTGCTGTCTGCGTCAACACGGGGAACGCCATGATCCGGCTCAACTAGACGGACGGCTTCGAGCATGGCAAAGACGGCGTAGATAGGATCTTCCACCTCAGGTCGGTAGCCTGGTGTCTGCTTGATCCACTGTCCACCGAGCAGACTGTGATCGCAACGCATAACCCGGAATCCGTCATTATTGTTTTCCAAAACAGAAATGTATCCTGTGTAAGCTTCCTGTCGTGCCAAGAGAGAATATCCTTCATGTTCAATTGCAGAATTGACACCGCTCATTCCAGCGAAATGGACGTTTGAGGTCACGGAGAAGATTATAGAGGGAATAGCCAGGACTAGCCATTTAGACGGGATGAGCGCAGCGTAAGCAGCCGCGAGGAGCATTTGCATGCCGACTCTGGTGAAAAACACGGACGACCCAACGATCCATGAAAGAACAAATTTGGCAATATGTTCACCGGCCGAATAGAAGACATATGAACCTATCAAGGGGACATGCTCAACAATCACGTCGCCCTGCGCCTCAAGTCTCAAAGCAGTCTGGATTTGCTTTCCGGCATAAGCGACTGTCAACAGGACCAGAGGATAGTAGCCGCAAAGTTCCGTGACGACTGGGCCTGTGGGATTGCCAATCTTTGAGCTTTGCTGCTTGATGAAATATTGGAGAGTCGGAACCCAGAATGCCAACACAGGGAGCATGAAACCTCCGAGACGGCCCATGCGCTTGAGGATCTTATCTTTCAGTAGCCATCCGAGTCCGCCGGAGATGGCGACTCCAAAACTATGGAAGATATGCGCGGGGAAAGATCCATATATCGGAGACAAAACCAGCTTGGAAAGGGGCGAGTAGAAGGCAAGCAGGATTAGCAAGATCACACCGGTACTGAATCGCCGGGCATCAACCCGCCGCAAGAAGTCCTGGGCAGACATGATTTCCAGATGCAGTTCTGGATAGAAGTGGCGGAGGAATCAACCAAAATAGCGCATCTGCAAGCTTGTTAGCAACCAACCTGAAACTGTGTCCTTTTCTCCCTTATTGCAATAGACATCTAATGAATGATAAAAGGTAATTTGGATCAGATCCTTGACACTTACACGTTCAAACTAGACACCTATCAAGTAAATCTTCAACAAGAAAAAAAGTCATGATTGCGGAGATGGAGGCACTTTTGCCGCCGAGCTCCGCGTTTCCCAAACGTCTTCCTCTCCACCTCACTCTGAAACACACCAAAGATGCCTCATTTCCCCAAGGATTCTGGATTTATGGCCAAAGATGAATCCGATGCAAAGAAAGCTGTCACAGTCAAAAACCGTCGCAAGCGGTATCTGGACTTAAACCCAGAATACTTCTCGGCGGGGCTTGAGTTAGCCGGTCCGCCTGCTCTCTTCTCTCCCATTGCCAGTTGATTATTACACATGTCTGGCCTGGTTTATTTACCGGTGCTAGCTGGCTTTGCACACAGAAGAAACCCCCCAAAAATACAATGCTAATCCTGCTCGACTTCTCCACAGACCCGTTACTATACGATCGCCTCATCCGCCGATTCCAGACAGCGCAAGAAAGAGAGGCCGAGGGACGAGCAAAGGGGTTCTCAGGCGTCCTGGAGACTGACCTCCTGCGCTCTGAAGCCAAGATCGAGGCGATCTCAAACCCAAACCCTAACGCTATGATGAGCTACACTCGTGGCCCAGGTGGGGAGATCCTTGCCGAGGACCGTGATGAAATACCCCCAAATAAGGAAGAAGGAGAGCGGCTCTGGCGGTGGGAAATGGAATTGCGTTTTATGCAGGGCAATGACCCTGATTTCGATTACAAGACTGTTGATCAGAATGAGGACTACGATGATCACTCGGATAAGCAAGACCAATACTTCGAGGATGAGGAACCTGAATGGGTGGTTGGCGACACTCGCGGGGACGACGCTCGTCCAAACCTGCAGGGTGAAACAGGCATTCAGGATTTCTAAATCCAGAGGAACTTGTTGCACGTGCTCTTGCGATATCGGCTACAGCGAAGTATGCCCGTTGGCTACACGTGATGCTATAAATCATTGCCTGGGGTGGTCTCTCTGAAATCACTCGGCTACCTCTGAGATAACCCGAAAGGCCACAGAAGAGGGACTTGATTGTGTATTCAAGTTCCTACTCCATCGACAACTTTGTGTTCGTCGTTGGGTTGTGGGTGTATCGGCACGATATAAAAATGTCCGCAATGGCCGCTGATGGCCATGAGTTGCCACATAGTTATGTATAAACATCCCTGGGTTCATGCTATTCATCTACTGGCCCTTGTCCGGACTTGTTTGTTGTCCATTGTTGTCCATTGTTGTCCATTGTTGTCCATTGTTGACTATCAAGGTTTCATTTCAAGAGTGAATACCCTACTTGGTCTCTATCTGGCTTCCTTTGTGTGATAAATTTGTGGCAATGATCGAGACAACTAGTATGGATGTATCTACTCAGGCTCGTTATTTAGCCTTCGGATGATCATATAAATATTCTAGCTAATGAAAAGTGAGAATTGAATAGACAAGTATGCACAATTTCAGGCACTTGTCTACTTAGAACCTGTGCAAAGAAAGGACTCGGCCTTATATGCTCGGTATTCATGCAGCGCTTTTGGCCAAAAGTTCAATGGCCTTCTCCCTGAGCTTGAACTTCTGAATCTTTCCACTTGCTGTCTTGGGAAAAGGCTCTGAGGGGCCCAAAAAGAAGACATGTTTTGGAACTACAAGCAAACAAACGTCAGCCCGGTGCATAGGACAATTGTCAAGATGATCGAAGTCCAGCTGAAACCGATGGGAAATGATGCAGCCCTAGAGCACTCTGGGTTATGACTTACTAAGATGGTTGCTAAGCTTTTCGCGCACCCATTGCTGAATATCCTCAGCAGTGACTGTCTTTGAGCCTTCCCGAGCAATGACGAAAGCAGCCACTGCCTCGCCATATCTCGCGTCGGGGACACCGACAACAGAAACATCCGCAACACCGTCATTGGCTAGCAAGCAATTCTCGATCTCTAGGGGGTGGATATTCTCGCCACCTCGGATGATCAAGTCTTTGATCCGTCCAGTGATACTGATATATCCATCTGGTGACATGGAAGCTTCATCTCCAGTCTAAAACCACGGGTCAGAAAAATCAGCTTTACGTGAGACAAAGAATGGAAAATAGAACTCACGTGCATCCACACTTTGCCAGAGTCATCTGCAATCATCACCTCCGCGGTTTTTTCCGGGGCGGCCCAGTATTCCTTCATCAACAGGTACCCGCTAACTGCCAATTCACCCCGCGTTTCTATAGGCAGAATGTCTTTCTTGTTCATTGGGTCCACAATCTTTGCCTCGACATGTGGCATAAGCTTTCCAACAGAGGATATTCGCTTATCAATGGGATCATCCGTTGTTGTCATAGCCGAGACGGGGCTTGTTTCCGTCATTCCATAACAGATTGTCAATTCGGTCAGATTCAGTATCTTGTGCAATTTCTTCATGATTTCAGGAGGGATGCTGCTTCCAGCAGCGATGCCCGTGCGAAGATGCTGGAATCCCTCGTTGGATATTTCTTTCCTCTCAATCATGCTCAGCTGCTCGAGGAACATTGTCGGTACACCATACAGCGCGGTGCATTTCTCTTCTTGGACAGCCTCCAGCGCGGCGCGGGCATTGAACGATTCACTGGGGAAGACTATGGCTGAGCCGTGGGTTGCTGTCGCCATATAACCTAAAATACTACCGAAGCAATGAAACAACGGCGGTGGGCAACAGATAATATCATTCGGCGTGAGAAGCATGCGATCCCCGATTTGAGAGCCGTTATTCAAGATGGAGTGATGGCTAAGACATGCTGCCTTGGGCATTGATGTGGTGCCTGATGTGAACTGGATATTCACAATCTCATGCGGCGAGAGATTTTGGGGAGGAAGTGGGCGGCCGTCTGCAGTAAGCTGGGATATGATGGATGCATAAGGCGTCAAGCCTTTATATGATGATATATCCACGCGACCTTCAGAATTGTCGACCGTGATAATATTTCTCAGAGAAGGAATCAATGCGGACTCCAAGTTCGACTTGTGGGGGTCTTGAACAAGGTCATCGAGCAAGGGAATATTGCTTCGTGGTTTCTTTCGGGGCAGGTTGGACTCCGTGCTGATTATAAGATGGCTGGCTTCTAGGTGACCTAGGGCTGCAATCACTTGTGTAGTATTGAAAGATGGATTGAGCGGAACCTATCAGATGATTAGCCATAGTGTCACATATCACAATGAGCAGGCTGACCTACCAGAATCGCACCAAGTTTGAATAATGCGTACGTTGCCTGGTCACGGATATTAGCCTTGTTGATTCCATCTTAAATGTTTTCACGAACACTCAACGTACCACAGCGTATTCCATCGAGTTCCCAAGCATGACTCCAACTCGGTCCCCCTTCCCAACACCGATCGACGCCATACCCCGAGCGAGAGCATTGCTTCTTGTGTCTAAGGAGGAATAGGTTGCTCGGTCATTCTGATGTCTTGAGATAACACTACGTATAGTCAGTATCTAGAGTCTCAATTGATCAAGCTTGCGCCATGGTTCTTACGCTGTTCTATCCCCGTATTTCGCAACAATCTTGGCGAAATGGTCGCCAACTGTGGACTCAATCAAGGGCGGCTATATATTGAAGGTAGTATGGTTAGATAAACATTGCTTCACATCAACCGTGTTATCCCTAGATTGTTCTTGGGTCGAGAATACTTACACTTGATGGCCCCCGCGCATAGCTCTCTGTCAGTAGTCCTCTCCTGACCAATGATGCATGCTGAAGGACTTTTCTTCCTCCAATCTCAAACTTCTGGCAGGATATACGGCCTCTCAGGCTAATACCCTTAGAAATTCCGCAGTAGCTCATGTTCATATTCCAATGCTAGCTTGACTGAGGTATCATGACTCTTTACCTAAGGTGTGGAAATGAAGTGAATAACTGCAATAACCTTGGAACAGTTGAACTGGAGGGGTTTGGAAGTTGAAGTGTGCAAGTCCGAGGGAAGCATAGCTTTCCCCGCACGCAAAACTGCGGGGAACCCGAGGAATTACATCCGCGTTTATATGACTAATGAGGACGAGATCAACAGTGCTCTTCGGCACTTCAAGTATATGCTTCTATTCTATTCGGACTGGCTAAATTGCCCAACTTCATGCTAGTAGTTGGACCCCTTGCTAGCACTTAACAAGCCAATGGGCGTAATTTCGTAGCACAACAAGGGAAAGGTCAATGTTCATCAAATAGTTGATGGTTCCAGTGATGCCAGGTGCGGTCTGTACTAGAAGTTGCGATACGTAGTTTAAATTGGAAATACAATCTTTATAATCTACATAGTATGTCAATGTTCGCAGGGCATTCAATATGACGAAACGGACTGAAAGGGTAGAAGCCGTATAGCGATGCGGTTACAACAGCAGATCAATTGCCACCCAGATTCAGAAGTAGGTATGACTAGTTAAATATTTCGAACAGTTTATTGTCACCAAAAAAAAGCTCGGTGCTGTCTAGTACTTGAACTCTTGGCCAACGAGCTTCTCACTCAGGGCCCAGAGTCTCTCGGCATCCCTCTTACTAGTCGCCCAAGAATATACTTCTTCCTGGTCCGGGTCCGCAAGACGACAGTCATTCAAGAAGGAACCATTGTGCTCGGCGATGCTGTTGTCGAAGGCAGCAAAAACATGCGTAGCGACACCCTGGTCAAAGTCCTTGAAGTAGATCTCATCCATGCCAAATATCCACTTATTTCCTTAAATATTGTCCATTTCCGTAAGATCGGCAGCAAAAGAAACATAGTCATGGGCGCCATGCGCCGAGAGGTTCGTGTGACAAGTACCAGGACACATGGGAAACGCGAGAACGCCTTGTGGACCGAGTTTCTCAGCAAGTGCAAGACCCATCAGAGCATTGGCTGTCTTTGACTGTCCATACCCCAGCCACCTCTGGTAGTGCTTGCCGTTGTTGAAGTTGTAATCAGTCCAGCGGATATTACCTACGCGGTGCACACCGCTGGAGATGACAACAATTCTCGGAGATTTCGAGCATAGGATCTTTCCCATGATGAGATTGGTGAAGAGGAAGTGACTGAGATGGTTCGCCTGGAACTGGCTTTCGAATCCGTCCTCGGACAACTTGTAGGGGACCGCCATAATGCCAGCGTTATTGACCAATACGTCGATGTGAGGTACATCCTCCCATGAATTGACAGTCTCGGCAGCCTTTCGAACACTAGCAAATGAGAGCAGGTCCAGGGCAAGGCATTTGACCTGTATTTCCGGGTGTGCAGCGCTTAGTTGATCGACGAGGCCCTGCATCTTGGAGATCAAACGTCCAGCAAAGATGAATCTTGCAGGCTTTGCTGCAGCGACTTGCTTGACAAAGCTTTCACCAAGGCTTCCTGGGGAGACTCCCGTGATAAGAATTGTCTTTCCAACAATTTGAGGGGCATAGTAAGGCACAAGCTCGCTGGCCTTGGTCTCGCGATTGCATCTCGGCGCCATGGTGCATGCGGTGGAGGATGGAATTTCACGAAAGACTAGCTGTGTTTGAGTTTAGAGCTTTATTGTGTCTCTCGCAAGAACAGAAAGTCCCCTTAAATACTCCCCGAATCAATCGTTGGGACCGAGCTGTCCCTGGCTGGATATGTCCGGTTCCGATGCGGAAAGCTTCATCCGATCAGAACTATCCCCGGGTACGAAAATTGCCGGGTCTCCGAGCCCTATCGAAGCAGTGTTTTGCATGATAAATTGATTGTCAAGGTGATGGTGGAGAAATGTCGAGCCCGGAAGCCGCTCTCCCATTGGATACGTTCTGGATCTGGGGAATGGATCTCAGATGGCCCGATTGGGAAAGCACTCTCTCATTGGCTGTTGAATCTGGAAGCCAAACTGGACGATGACTGGTCCAACTCCTTGTAATTGTAGAATGCCGTCCTCTAGGGACGAATAATAATGTCTACTTTTTATTCATTTCACGGGAGAAGGGATAGCTTGGACGATGGTATCAATAAAAGAAGTTGCTTACTATATAATCCCAGAGCTTGGCACAACCCTATATCTCATGGGAGGTTTTAAGCGAGGTAGATAGGAAAAGGTTCCTCCTTCGGACGTTGAACAATGAACAAACACATACCCGTAAGTATCTATTACGTGTTTCTACCGAAAATATATAAAATCAATGGTCTATTCAATGTTTAGCTACCAAATCAATTCTATACTCCAAAATGCAAATCTATCACTTATTCTAAGTCAGTTCCAGAACCGTCGCAGTGCCCGCATAGGCACTCATAGTCTCTATGCCGCCAGTATTTATCACCGTAGCCAACAGTAAGTTCTTCAAAGGGCATGATATCGCGAATGGCCTCAACAGTGCACACCACTCGGTTTCCAATGGTTCGGGTAGTGAACTCCGTCGAGGGCCGGCAAGAGTGGTTGATAAAACGGGTCCAATTTCCAAACTGATGAGGGGCAACCGTACACAGCATGCGACCTTTGGGATTGTCATCGCATTGCGTCAGAGGATACACATCTTCCACGCAGCCAGGAAGAAGTTCACCCACGAATATATCGAGAATATCGCCGCGTTTGAATTTCGTAAGTACTCGAACACCAGTACCTGTCTCGGGATATTCTCTCAGCTCAACCAGTTCTCCTGCCCGAGATGTCAGGCGGCAGTCACAAGAAACAGCACTGCCGCACATAACACAAGCACGTCCAATGTCAGTCGAACTGCCATTGGGCATATGGCGAAGCGTCGGATCCTGCTTATTACCATGCCACTCCTTGGGGTCATAGATACTCTCGTTAATATGTTGCTGTAATTCACCATCATATAAAGGCTCCTTCAGTTTACCGTCGAGTGTGATGACGGTGTGGTGAGGGTGGTCGACTTTCCACTGCATGTAAGTCTCGATTTCGGTTTTCATGTCTGGTAGACCTGGCATGGTGTAGGCCTGGTAAACCCAGAGCGTGTCACGCCACTTCAGGGATCGGCTGTGTGCATAAAGTTGAATACTCAAGGAGTTTTCTTGAATCTTCTGAACCACGAGTCCCCAGGTTCTATCGTTAGCTTCTTTGATACCTCGTCGAAATGCTTCGGCATGGGCACAGATAGCAAACATCTTCCATCCGAGTGCAGTAACAAACTCTAAGAATCTGCTGTTAGGTGTGACAGGTTGGAATTCACCACGTTCCGCCTTGAAAGATTCCACGCAGTTCATGTAGTTGCCAATCTCCCGCTCAACAAATACTTCTGTGGACGCACGCAGGTTAGAGAACATCTCCTGTAAATTATGAATATTCTCTGCCGCAAGTTTCTCAATACGGCAGTAGGCGTTGATGTCGTGGTACACGGCCATGATGATATCAGTAGCGTGCTTCTCTGCCGTCTGATTCAGCGCTTCTTCAGAGCCCCAGGGTGGGAAAATCTTGTTTATGTCGACCTTAGGACGCTTGGCAGCCTTGTTAACGGCCTTCTTATTGGCTGGCTTCTTGTTGGTAGTCTTCCTGCTTGTAGTTTTCCTGCTTGTAGTTTTCCTGCTGGTAGTCTTCTTGCTGGTGGTCTTCGGGGTATTTACCGTCTTGGATTTCTGGCTTGCACTGTTGCGTGAGTGAGCCATTGTGATAGCTATGGAATATAACAATCTATAAAGGCTTGTAGATATGAAAGCGAAATGCTGGATTGGATGCTGTGTTGTGTTGTTTAGAATGTGTGCTGACTGGCTATTTGGCGCGGAAGAGAAGGGTCTTTATACTCGCTTGCTTCAATTTCCATAAAGCCCATGCGCTATTGTATTATTATGCACTGCTTTGTTTCAACCATAAAGAGTATTGTGGTGTTTAATACTGGGAGTAGGTGATACAAAGAACGAAGGAAGAGACAACGAATTCTCGAAATATGTATATCCATTGTGAAGACTGATGAGCCTTGATCGAGTTGGAATAGGCTGAAAATTGAAAGAAATGACGGAGAAAACATATATAGGATATATATTTTAAGCTCAAAGAAGTGAAGAGGACAAAGTACAAAGAGACACAAATAGCGGAATGACGCTTGGCGTCATGTGGTGGGGAAGCTCCGTTTTGCGACACTTCCTCTTTCGCTTTCCCCAACTCTTCTTGCTTTGTTCTATTTTTCTTTTCCTATTATCATGCTTGTACATTGATTTCCAATTTCAGCGCAGAACTAGACCATGGCCTCCGAACCGTCCGAGGAAGCTATCGCCAGCTTCGTCAGCTTCACGAGCACGACACGCGAACAAGCTATCGCCTTCTTGAAGGTAGAACACTGCCAGTTGATAAGCAATATCTGAGCTAATTCTATCCCATACAGGGAAACAATCTCGACTCACAAAAAGCGATCAACGCGTACTTCGAAGATCCGACAGGGTCTCAGCTAAAGGTAAGTTTGGCGACACGCAGCAACTCCTGGCTATGATCTGACATATCAAAGCCAGTAACTAGTTACTGGAATGACAACAGAGGTTCTTGTAAGATCACCTCCACCATGAGAGTTCGCTTTGGAAATTAACATACCCCGCCCCAGCATGGGATTTTGCCCAACAAGACAATGCGCCACCAGTGCCAGCGACAGCACCGCCCTCTCGTCCTCCTTCACGAACAGACATACATGACCTGGAACAGCATACTGGATATCAAGATTCTGTCGCGATCGGTCCGAAAGGTAACACAATCTTGACATTTTAATTGCAAAAGGTATACTAATTTGCGGTTATTTGACCTTATAGAAGGCTCCGGACAAGGTCTCAGTCTAGCGGAACGCGAAGAACAAGAATTACAGCAGGCAGTTGCTATGTCATTGAATTCCGACATGGGACAGCAGGAAACTGGGGTGACATCAAATAAGCAGCCGCAGTTCAACAAAGCAACCCGGGATCACTACGAAGAAGGCGCTTGGGCGATGACCCTATTCAACACATCCTCCGAAGAAGTCATGATTAGCCCAGACCCGGAAGACCGGAAAAGGGTGGAGGGCGAGCCTGCGTTCATCCGCCCCAACCCAGACGGCATTTACCTAGGAGGGCTCTTGACAATTCTCCATAGTATTCCTCTCGCGCGGGAAGCATTGCTCCTGCGGAACAAACCGTTGTTTGACTATGGCCATGAGCCTCAATGGTGGAATGGGCAGCCGATTAACCTACCAAAGATTGTCACAGTGAACGATGGCAAGATCGGGGATAGCGACTGGGACGATATCATTCATGAGACCCAGCGCCTGATGGCTTTTATGGATACCACAAAACGAGCTTTTGGCAGCAGCGATGGCTTAGCAAAACTCAAAAGCATGTCATCCCTCTCGGCAGACTCCGATGAGAGCGTCACCAGATTTTTGGAAGCATGGCATGGTGCAGCTATTCAGGCGGATCCTGAAAATCCACTGGCAACAATATTCACATCACATGCATACAGGAGGAAAGATCCTTCCGACCACTTTGCTGAGCCCGATAGCAAGGAGCTCTTCACCTTTGATCCCCCTGTTGAGCAAGACCATGGGCAGACGCTATATGAAGTTTTCGATTCGGCTTTATGGTCTGACAGACCGGGGAAGGAGCTTGACGACGCATGGCTTGAACACTTAGCAGAGGTGCTAGTCATTAGACTCGATGCCTTTAAAAAGCCAAACCCTGTGGATGTGGATATTCATTCTGTGTTCTATCCGGATCGGTATCTTAGCAGCTGCCGAGATCTTGCTCGCGAGTTTCGTGCAAAGCGACAGCAGATACAGGAAGATGTCTTGAAACTCGAACGACTCATACATCGCTATACTAGCCCACGGGACCCCGTGGGCAGTTCAACGATCAGGGAACTCCTTGAACAAGCTGCTCTGGCGGTGCCGTTGGTTGCGCCGGAGCAAGCGCGAGAGTCTGATCAGTCCAGCTCCGAGGCGGCATTTCCAGATACGACGCGAGTCGCAGAAGAATTGAGGGCAATTGCTACTAAAATAGAAGCCAAGCTCAAAGGTAAAGACAGCAGTTGCTACTATGCTTATATCATTGGCTAATATTCTGAGCGCAGAACTGGAACTTAGAAAAGAGAGTGCCGTGGAATCTCTTCGTGAGATATCAAAGACACTAACTGAACCTCCCAAATCACCATCCGAACCCCCTGTCTACAAGTATACGCTACGAGGCGTATGCACGGAACCGCATGTGACATATGTTTTATCAAATCCCAACACGGCTGCTCCAGGACACTTGATGGATATGGACTCGGACATTGAAAAAAGCAGTGACTACCAGTGGTGGCGTATCAGCTTCTCGGCGGAAGATGGAAAGACCCAACGAGCCGAGAAACGGAAAGCCAAAGGCAACACTACAGCCTCACAAGATGGCGAGGTTGTTGGTTACACTATTCGGAAAGTTCAGGAGACTGAAGTGCTCCAGGCCGCTCGCGAAGAGTGGAGTTCAGTCTTGCTCGTTTATGCGAGCGAGAATGCAGTCAACGCACAAGTGGATCCTGCGCCGTCACAGCTTCAGGTAAGATGCCCAGTCGTTCATAGACTGTTCTAGAATTTCTGGCTAACTGAAACCAGGGCTTCGTGAACAGAGACAACGATGCCTTCGGGGGCGAATTCGAGAACACCCCTACCATAATCTTTAGTGACCAGGAAGATTCCTGGCCGGAGTCGAACAACACGGAAGCTCAGCATAAAGCTCAGCAGCCTGAAATGGCAGAGAAGGCTACACAGGTTAATGTCTTCGACTACGAGGTCTCCGGCTTCGACGATGAGCCAAAACCCAGCCAAGAGATGCAGGAGAAAGGTGGGGCGAGTCTCTTGGGTCATCGTGGCGCCGCAACTAACTCCACAGCGCCCACTGCCTCCCACCCAGAGTGGAATTATGCAGATGATGATGAGGCAGCACGTCATCTGGAGCATGCGAAGTAGTCTTGAATGAAGCATGCGGGGAAGCCTACGAATGATGAGTGAATGACGAATATGTAGATACTGTAGAGCAATTTCAAGTCTTGGCCATATGCCAAATGATTATATTGTAAACCCCCAAGTCCTAAGTGTCGCCCTGGTATAAAGGATCCCATATTATAGTAGACAGATGCTTATGTAGAAACATCCCGAGGTCAATGTTCGATGTACACCTTTGGTACTGATAAGCTTGTCCCCACATTTTGCTATGTTTGCACCGGACCTCACCAAGCTCCTGGCACAGTTTCTCAGTGAATTCCCTTCGAAATACCACCCAATTGATCTCTGAACTCCACAGACCATGGCCCTAGAAAGTGACGCAGTGGCCGGAGCCACGATCGAACTCCTCGAGGCGCGCCTACGCCGCCTCACCTACCTCGTCACCGGTTCCACAGACTGGACCGGCGTCCCTACCACGCCCGAAAAGCCCGCATCCCTCGACGAGACAGTCGCCCGTCGACTCGCACGGCTAGAGTCAGAATTAGAACGACTTAGTCGGAGTGTACCAGCCGTACGGGACGTTCTACAGCTCCGTATGTAACCAGTGTCAATGTTATTTACACGCGCATTACCACCACAACATGTCCCCTCTTATCTTATGCTCTCCCTATTGGACCTCCAAGTCCAAATACCTACATAAAACACTCTCAAATTATTCACCCAAAAACATCTGATCGAATTTCATAATAACACAAACCCAACCAGACGACCGCAACCCCGACCTCTTCCAAACAACACCACCCCACCAAATCCCAGAAGGCCTCACAACCAAAACCCTAGCCTCAATAGTCCTCTCATATGCAACCGCCTTCCCCGAAACCGCCTCACGCCTTACATCACTGAATGATCTCCCCGTGCCGGACGCGCAGAGCTCTGCAGCACTAATCGAGCTACAGCCACAGCTAGATCGGCTCGCGCATACACAGAGTGAACAAGCAGCTGAGATCTCAGAGCTGCGGGTGCGCACAGCGCGCGTGCTGCAGCGCTGGTATGAAGTTGGACTTGTTGGGAGTGGGGAGTGCTGGGCTGAGTGGGAGGGGAGACTCGAGGATGTTGAAAGGGAAGTGAGGAGGGGAGAGATTGTTAGGAAGGGAAGGGAGGAGGTTTAGCGGAATCTTGTCAATATTTCTTATTCCGGGTGATATTTCTGAGTCAGAGTGATGTCTTTGGCTCTTGTTTTTTTGCTGTGATACCTCTGATTTAGGCGTACGGTGCTTTTATCTTGAACAGCGCAGATGGGATATTTCCATGTTTAACACACCGAATGGACATATACAATCTACATGATACGTGTGTCAATATTTTGATATTCAATCGATACCCATGGTTATGAGGGAATATGATATCTAGCTCGGTTAAGCTTAGAATTTGATACGTTCCACGGCGGCGTATGCAAACCTATCTCACGGACCTATTCTAGATCAGGTGGCGTCATGACATGTGAGATCGTTTATGTATATCATATTCCTCCTTCCAATTCAAGTCAATTGGAATGCGCTAATCTACCCCAGATTCCTCGCCCCCGCAAACTGCGATTGGTGATGTAGAAAGGGGTATATTGACGCTTGACATCTTACAAGCGAATAGCGATTGAGTCGTTTATGGATATAGTGTTGTGTCCACAGGTGGCTAAGGTGAAGAGGTTACTAGCCCTAAAGTAGACGCGCAAAATCATAAAGTCGGGGATAGGAGGGTTACATATTGATAGTGCCATATAGCGCTGAAAATATTACCAATTTGGGGCTGTGGCGCAATTGGTAGCGCGTGGTAAGTTCACTTGAACATTTTCAGTCTAAAATGAAACAAAAACTAACAATTAAACAGCGACTCCAGTTCGCAAGGTTATCTGGTCGAGACGGGTCAGCCTCAACTTCTTTTTTTTGTTCTTTTCTTTTTGTATACGATAAATACTTTATACTTCTTTATACTTTGTAGAACATATGCTTGCTAAGGCAATTGCGAATTTTATATGTTCTATTTTACTGTTTTGTGGGAAGACAAACCATTCGAATCATGGTGCCATAGGGAGTGAAAATCTTCACCAATTTGGGGCTGTGGCGCAATTGGTAGCGCGTGGTAAGTTCAATTGCACACACATTCAGTCAATTAAAACATAAACTAACTATTCAATAGCGACTCCAGTTCGCAAGGTTATCTGGTCGAGACGGGTCAGCCTCATTTCTTTTTTTATTTCTTCCAATTTCTTTTACCTTACCCCTCTCTCATTTCTCTCCTTTAAAGTTAATTATTAATTTCTACAAAGCCCCGGGGCCCGTGCAGACTCTACAGAGCTGGCGTCAAGTTATGCCTGAGGTGTTTAATCACTGTCAGCACAATACGCAAGTATTTTACCACTAGACCATCACAAAAACTAAGGTTCCTGTTTATAGCCTAGGGCGGCTTGTATTATACTGTCAATCACAACAAAAGCCCTAGTTGGTAGTCTCAACATACCATGCGCTACCAGAGGTTGGGCACACCCTCCAATGTTATCATAATATCTTAGTAATACAACAATTATGGCGCCTTCTGACCAATATGTATGTTATGTCATATTTGTGGTGGTTATTATGATGACAACATTGATTTATGCAATTCGTGGAGTCTCGCTGCTGGGTAGGTTTTCAGGTAGGTGCGGCTTCTAAACGACATATGTAGTTACGGGACCTTATATTATTAGTACCTCTAAGGGCTACCGCATTATGTTCTCTGGGATCGTTTGATTCCCCGTCGCTCTCTCCCTTTCCCCTTTCGCTGCACTTCCACTTGCCACTGTGAAGCATATCAAGATGTCTCGTTCTTTGACTTCTCCTTCTTACTCTCCCATCCCTCCCTCTCCCTTATTTGCACGAGCTGCTGCCACACACCGCTTAGAGGCTGGCAGCGAGATCCTCTGGGCAGAACTGCCGTCCCCTGCAGAATCCCATAATGTACGCCATTTGCGAGGGAATGGAGAGTCTTCCTGCTCCTCTAAGAGGTTGTCGGCACCTCTTAGTGCTGTCCAGAGACAGTCGCCCAGAATTACGCGTCCACGATCCAGTAGTTATTCAGGTGCCTCTACCCGAGCTAACGCCCCTCGGCAGCGTCGACTATCGGAGGATTCATCCCGCCTAGCGCATATCACAGGTCAATGTGGTCTTCGGAAGGCTGTTACAAACATTGTTATGGATCGTCTGGAGAAGGGTGGAGTGGATACCCAGAAGATAGACCCCATTTTGCTGAACCATTGTCTACCGAATGATTCCGACAGTATCTCTTGGGAGACAATCATACATACACCGATTCGAGTTCCAGACCACATTTTATCAGAAGCCCTCAACCTGCGAATTGCTACAAACAGAGAGCTCCCTGGGAAGGAAGACCGATCAGTCATCTTATATGTGAGGTCCTTTCAATTGACTGTGAAGCAGCTGCTGGATGTTATTGCGCAGTTTAATGATGCTGGGCTTGAGAATGCCACCACCGCAGCTTGGTTAGACTGTATTGAGTTCTTGAAACCAGATGAAAGCGTTTATATCCGATATGTGGGAAGAACGGAAAGATCTGCTCTTTTACGTCACAGACATGATCTCACTTTCCATTCAATCAAATTTGCGTTTATATCAAAATTCCTTCATGCTCTGGGGAGGACCCATCCATTGGTTATTGACGCGGTGATGATATATGAGCTTCCAGGAGCGCCATTGCGACAACTTAGCGAGGGAAAGGAGCAAGCCCTCATTGCACTCCTCGATCTATCATCTCTGGTAAACCAAAGAATCTGTGAAGCCCTTCAGTGGGAATTCACACCAGTTGAGTCTCATCGAAGAGCCTTTATCGACCTGGGAACCAATTCCTTTTCTTACCTAAGCTCCTTGGACTTCCAACTCATGGAAGATTATGAGCCGATTTCTACCTGGGCGATGAACATCCAAGAGTATACCAGAACCCACAAGCTTTGCGTCTGTCGTTCTGGCAGACAGGTATTGGAGTTCCCAGACGCGCTTCGTACTGCCATTATTCGACAAGCCCGACCCTCGCTCTTCCGTGGAAAATTTGTTTTATTCTTGACTCTCGGTGCTGAGATGAGTCTCGAGGCATGGAGAAATACCCAAGGCTTCTACTCTGGAACAAGCGACTCCGCTATGCTCATGAAGAACTACCTGAAAAGGCTTTGGGGCTGGGAGAAAGGCGAGCCACTTTCTGACCGGCACCTGGACATGTTAATCGCAGCGGGAACACTTCCTTTTATTAATCTTTCTCCGTGGCTGAAAGCCGAGGGAAAAGATTTCCAAGAGGCGATAAGATTTGCAAAGGCCTATATACTATTGGTCAAACCTATGATCATTCTCACGCTGGGGGTCAAGCCTTCTTCGAGTGCGGCCTCCGCTTTTAATCACTCATTCGGCTACCCTGCGTCTCAGACGTTTGAGGCAAAGGTTGGGCAGTTAGAAGTGATTGACTGCGATGGAGTCTGTTTTATTCAACTTCCTTGTTATCATCCAGGCAAAGCAAGATTCTGTCGTAACCCTGAGACTTTTAGCAAGGTATTTGATATGACTCTTTGGGTTCTTCTGTCCACTATCAAGATTTGTCTCGATTCAGCAAAGACCTTTGAAGCTCAACCGCGCGAAACCTGGTGTCAGCATATTAAGACAACCGTCGGGAATAGTCTTGAGCGAAAAGGCTTCTATAGGTCATTCAAATTATTGAAGGATAAGCTTCGGTCTGAAGGACCGAAGCCGCCATCTAATCTTGCGGCACGAGCGCGAGCAAATTTAGGGATCGCGGCAAGAGCAGTCACCGTGCGTTACTTATGGAGCCTTGTGATCCCAACTTTAACTAGACATACTAATGCAAACTTTAGGATCGATTCCTTTTTATCGGATTCGCGCTAGGACCGCCGCTGTCACTCCAACGAAGGCAGCAAGTTCGTACTTTATGGGATTCAAATATTCCGGAGCTGCATGAACACATCCCGCGCAGTGATAGAAATTCGTGGTGGGCGTGGGCTTGTGGGCTGCACGAAGGGACTTCGTTTTTTGCTGATGCTTCTGTGGGTACTGCCACAAAGCTCATAAAGGCTGCGCAAGGGCCAGATGTTTTCCTCCAGCCACAGATCTCCAGGAAGCGGCAAGATCGTTCACATAAGTCTTCTCACTTATCTGTATCAGTTCGGCAAAAGAAGACCTCTGAAGTATTGATGCCTTGGAATGGTCCTCTTTTGGAAATGTCAACTCGGACTACGTCCAAAGAAGCCGTGACCCTACTAACGGCGACTCTATGTGACAATATGCGGCCATCACAAGTTGCAGAAGGGCATAAAATGGCACAAGGAAGAATTGTTCCCCAGTTTTTGCGCAGTTGGAATGGAAGCGAAGTCTATGCCTGGAGGAACGGTGGCTTTGCCATCTATTGGAAAAATAGTCAGGGGCACGACATCACATTCACCCTACGTTTGCCACTGTCAAATTTCAACCCTAGCCCTGCAGTGCGAAAATTTGTCTTTTTGTGAGTTGCAAAATTCTCTAAGTTACTTTACCAAACCAAAATTACTGATGCATTTTCAGCACACCTCATGGAATCGACCTTCAAGATGAGACTGGAACTCCCTGCCGGACCATGGAAGGGACTTTGGGATCGAAGAATCAGGCCACTTTTCCTGTATGCCGGCTAAATGACTGTCAGGACAATACGGCGATGGGACAGCAACTCATTGAACTGTGGGAGCAAGAAACAACATTATCCTGGAAAGTGACAATTGGGAACATAGCCTCTTCGATGAATAATGGAAGCCCAATTGCCCAAGGCCATTTTGACGGACCGAGTTTAGGATTGGTGCATTTAGGGTGGAAGAAATCAAGCCTCCTTGAGCCATACGACAGCCCCCCTCTGCCAGCGGACGCACTTTGGCTCCTCTGGATGTGCCTACGAAAATATTGGCCAGAAGGGGGTATCTTGTTCATTGGGGACCCTCTCAAGTGGCCACATTGCACAGATAATTTCTGGAATAATTTTCGAGAGTATGTACCTCTTATTGTCATATAAATCAGGAATTTTTATTGACAACTAGCTGGAGGCTTTTAGCAAGTGGGAAATATCGCCACCACCCCCAATTCAACATACTGAGTGCCTGGGCCCACGATTTGGCAAATCCAAGAAAAACCGCTCAATTGATACGAAATCTCGGAGTTATTTGTACTGTGTGCTCGCAGAAAAAGGTCCAACGTAGGGATCACGTACGGAAAAGAGCCGAAAACAAGGATGTAAAGATTGCAGGGACGGAATTAGCTATCTCGGCACCGCGCTTAGACATCTCCGAGGTGCATGGCGCATAGAGACAGGTTCCAACTAGGAGGTCTGAGATGACTACTCCATACATACATCCATGGATAGTTAAATGACAAGTCCAGTTTAATGGGCGCCTTAATAGGTCCATTCTCAAATGTTCTAGACCAGTGACAGCACGCGTTATGGAGATAAAGGTGGTTTGATCAATCGTCAAGACTTGTAATTGAAAATTTCAGGGTGGCTTTCGATGATACCTTTACCTGGTATAAGCAAATAGCACCTAGGTAGATTATAGCAAGGCATCTTAGGTACCTATAGTGCATGGGTTACCTAGGTAGGTAGTACTATAAACCTAATGAACACGTGCTGCTCTACAGTCAAGGCCCGCTCGGTATGTACTTCTGCAGTCGCATGTGCTATTTCGGTAGGCATACCCAGCTCTCTTACTCTGACTGAAAAAAGGAAAACAAGAATGTCTAATGATAATGGCAGAATTTACGTCTAGAAAAAAAAAAAGAAGAAAAAAAAGAAGTTGAGGCTGACCCGTCTCGACCAGATAACCTTGCGAACTGGAGTCGCTGTTTAATTGTTAGTTTTTGTTTCATTTTAGACTGAAAATGTTCAAGTGAACTTACCACGCGCTACCAATTGCGCCACAGCCCCAAATTGGTGCTAAATTTTGCCCTTTATGGTATCACCAAGCTCTGTATATTTTATATTGGATATTGTATTTTGTACTCCGCACTACTTCTAATACTGAGAAGTACGTAGGCAGCTGCCATAAAGCGGAGGTGACTAAGATGATATTTATAGATTTCCACATTGAGTCTTTAAGAGATTCAAGGGGGGAAATAAATAAAACGGTTAACATAATAACCCTTCATAAATATGTATTAGTGTACTCCGTAATTTCCATTGAATTTGTTAAATTTCTCCATGTTAATTTGCCCTCCCAATTTCCAAAAGAGTCGAGACCGATTTCCAGGGGGCCCGGGACTCCACAGCGTATCTGCCACTTTTCCTCCTTTTCATCTCCTCTCTCTCTTTCTTTCAACTTTCAATCTTATCCACTCTTTTTTTTTTATCCTCGTTCTCTTTCCTTTCCAGCCTGGTGCTGTGTTTGACTCTGCAAGGGGAACTTCTTTCTTTTAACCCAACCTCTCTTGTCTCGGATCTTAAGGTACTTTTTAATCCTACATATCCTTGGACTTTCCTTTACATCCGTCACTAGCATAATCCATATTCGCACATTTAATTCACTCTCCCTGTTCCACACTAACTAACCACAGTCGTTCATTCCCCGTCCTCCTCGTTAAGGACCCTTTATATACAACCAAATCGCTCCTTCTTTTCTTCGACTATCTCATACTTCCCTTTACCTACACGCCCGATTCAATAAATTCAAAATGGCCACATTCCGGCCTAGCAACATCCTAGGCGATCCGTTCGCGCTCATGACCATCTCAATGTCAATTGTTCGTGACTTGCCCTTACACGACCCGACATTGACTAATATACAATTCTAGCTGGCATGGCTTGTCGCTTTCATCGCATCTATCATTGCCGATGTGCAAACCAAATATCCCAATTACTCGTGGTGGGCCATCTCATATATGTTTTGTGTTATTGTGGGCCTCATCACGACCTTCGGCACTGATACGGGCCACGTTTACGGCGTCGCGGTATGAACTCTTCATTGCAGAACGTTAGGCCATAGTACTAACAATGTCCCCAGATCGTCGGCTACCTTGCTTGCGGCCTCGTCCTATCATCCACGAGCGCAAACAACCTGATCTACGAAAACCATGCCTCCATGCAAGCCGCAGGCGCAGGCTTCATCCTGCTTTCCATGATCATCATCATCTGGATCTTCTACTTCGGTTCCTCACCCCAGGCGACCCACCGCGGTTTCATCGACTCCTTCGCCCTGAACAAGGAACAGCCAGCCGAGCCCTCCTACCGCGGCAGCCGCCCCATGTCCAGCGCGTTCGGCGCCCGCCCAGATACCATGGCAACAAGCACCACCCCGCAGATGTACACCTCCGCCCAACTAGGCGGCTTCGAGACCTCATCCCCTGTCTCCGGATACCCCGGAGGTGCGCCCGGCGCCGAACGATCCTCTTCTGCGCCTCGCTTTGGAACACCCAACCCCCAGGCTTCGGGTAACGGCGATCAAGAAGTGGGCGAAGTGCCCCAGCCAACAGACTACCCCTACCGGGCTAAGGCTATCTACTCATACGACGCCAATCCGGAAGACGCCAATGAAATCAGTTTCGCCAAGCACGAGATCTTGGAAGTATCCGATGTGAGCGGCCGATGGTGGCAGGCTCGGAAACAAAATGGAGATACTGGCATTGCGCCATCGAACTATTTGATCCTTCTGTGATCTTAGTTCGTATGCATGATGTCTGTTTTTTTTTTTTGTTCGAGTTTCTTGCCATTTCTGTCGCAAAACCTGTTTCCCTTCCCCTTGATACCCTTCGGATCCAACCTCGATGTGTGTGTGTATTTTTGGTTCCTCTAACGTGATGTCTTGATGGCCTCCTTGTGATTTTCTGTATGTCCTTTCTGTTCTTGACGTATTTTTGTGATTGGTGTTTTTGTTTTTACTCTAGCGGGTGGTTTAGCCCGGGTCTGTCCTTTATGCTCCTTTATGAGGTGCTATTCTCTATCATGTTGGAATTATGTTTTAGAATTAGGGTCCGTCGATCTTGATGAAAGACTTCAAAGTTTCTACATGGAAAAATATACATGTGAGATGGCATATATAAGTAAGGATCTTGTTATACGTACACGTCTACGTAATGTGTTACCCACAGGGTGGACCTGTGGGCCTCCCTAAGATCTAGAACATCCATACTGATGAGGGCTACAGTCATAAAAGCATCACGAACTGCAGTATCTAAATCAAACAATTATCTGTTGAGACTCGTACACATGTGTGTAATAATAACAAACAAACATGTCGCCTTATAGGGCTCTTTCGTTCCATGGTCGATCCAGATTTATACTTCTCTAGCTAACTTGATATTGAAGAACGAAAGTGAATTAAATAATTAAATATTAATCCCTCGAATATGGATTGTCTAGTTTGCCATTTGGCAAATTTTGATCAACCTTTCCTAGTATAAGACACAATGAAGAACGACGAAATGAGTGCCACACATGAGCACCCGAACGCCAATTGAAACGCCCAATGAAGCGCATCGAGATAGCAAGGGTCACCCGCTACACATATTGTCCCCGTGGCAGCTGCATGTTTATTCAACCGAGCAGAAAAAAGCGCAGTCGCGGCCGCAAGCCCGACAGTGCAACCCGTAGACCGGAAAGCATAATAGGCGGAGGTAGCGGTAGCATGCTGCTCATGAGGCACGGCATGAAGGAGCGCAAGGATGAGCGTCGTGACAATACCTCCCATGCCGATACCTTTACCGAGAAGATAGATCTCGGGTAAAACCCAATGAGTGTGTTCCGTCACAAACATGAATCCGGCACCAGCGAGAGCCATCAGGAGAGGCATTGTGTATTTGAACACGCCGTACTTCCCAGTAACACTGATGGTGATCCCGACTAGAGCAGATCCAATCCCCGAACCGAGGCCATCTGGCAATATATACAGGCCGGTCCGACTAGTCGAATAACCTAGCATCTGGAAATAGAGAGGAACGTAGTAGATATTCGCATACGCAGCCATAGACGCGAACCATGCGGTCAGACACACGGCCACTACAGTGCGTTGCCGAAACAGCGACATCGGGATGATAGGTTCCTTTGCCCAGCGCCATTCAATAAGCAGGAATACGCCCAGCAGGACGATTCCAAGGGGCACGGTGACGGCGAAAAGGGTGGTGACAATGCGAGTTCCCTCGTGGTTCAGACCGATGAGAAGGAGGACTAGGGCTGAAACCAAGGTAGCGGCGCCGGCAAAGTCAACACGACTTAACATCTCTCGAAGACTTTGTCTGTCCTCGCGATGATCAGGGACGAAAATCGCCACGCCGATTCCTGCAATTAGGGAGATTGGAGCGATGCCGATGAATGCCCATCGCCAACCGAAGGCATCGTGTGTAGCTCCTCCGATGACAGCGCCTAGTCCCATCCCTGCTGTGAACCAGACGGAGCTGATCCCTTGCCAGGTTCCGCGGCTTCGGAGAGGGATGTTGTCTGATAAGATGAATGTGGCGATTGAGATGCAACCGCCGCCACCGATACCTGTCACGACGCGAGCGATGATGATTATGATTTTCGAATGAGCGAGGCCGGAGATCAGGTTTCCGATTGTGAACATAACGGATGCGAAACAGAAGGTTTCGCGTCGGCCGAATATGTCACTTAGCTTTCCGCTGAGTGGTTGTGTGGCTGTAAGACCGATTAGGTACCCGGTACCTAGCCATGATACGAGTGAGAGAGATTTGAATTCGGTGGCGATGGTCACGGATAGTGTCGAGGTAATGGTGCTATCTGCGGCAGCGAGGAAAGTGACGATCCAGGTACAGATGATTCCAACTGCTACTGTGGGTTTTAGGCGTGTATCTTCGGTAGGGACCGTAGGGTGAAGGAGTGAAGTCCGTTCTGTAGACATTATGAAAGCCCTTGAGCCTACAATGGTAGACCTAGGGTAAATGAATGGTGTGTATTGGGGAGGGAGGGAGAAGAAGAGAGAAAGAGCTGGATCTATTTACTTATGGGGAGTTGATCGATCTATGTACATATGCAGATATGTAAACAGTAAGGGGAGTTGATCCCCCAGGTATTCATACCAGACATCAACCCTCGAATAAGCAAAGTGTTCCGACAAATAGCTTTGATGACAGGATGCCTTGGAGAGTTTTCGCCTTTAGGCAGTGGAGGTGATACCCGTGAGAGTGCGCACCAATGAGTAATGTGTATTCTGGAATGTGCAAACTCAGTCACAAATACTCTATAGGAGTAGTGTTTTTGCTTTTTTTTTCTTTTGGTTTTTTGCTTTTTTTGCAAGACCTTGATAGGTTCTGTGGCTGAGACTTGGTCGTTGCTATCATCAATTCGATTGATTTCTAAATGACATTGAGTGTTGTATGCAGGGAGTAGAATTGCTTGAAGACACTATAAGTATTTACGCCATTATTCTAAGTTTAACATAATATAATGCAAGGTTGATCACAGCCTGATCAAATAGATCTCCTGCAGGGTGCAGGATCCGGTTCAGCTCAGCCCGAGACCCTACCCTTGTTGAATTCATGGAGTAATTTGAGGTAGCTGAAATGTGGGGTTGATGTAACCAAAACTGAATCATGCTGCAAATCAGGTCTACGTTGAGAAAAGGGATATTCCAATATCAGCCTCGTCGATCTTTCTTTTTCAAAGGAGGCATCAAGTTTTTTAAGAAGATCGAGAGCATATTAGTGATATCATATGGATAAATTAAGATCTCATTCTGTGAAACACGTCGATTTAAGTCTAATTGGTCTACAGAAAGTCGCATAAATGATGTATTTGCGTAGAGAACCTGGCCTGTTCTAGTTGCTGGGGTAAAGAAGTGAATGCAGATCATTAGATTAAGGGTACGGGCCGTACGGAGTAGTATCCATACCTTTGGATAATGCATCTTTCTATTATTCAGATCAGATCAAGACCTTATGTGCTGATGTCAAATTGCTATTAGAATAGTGACATTACTGCCTTAGGAGGTATATGTGACGTCTGCCTTGCCAACTCGACACTAACGCATGCACGCCACCAAATAATAAGTATTATTTCAAAGATGATACAATGAATCATGTATACTAGGGATTGATATTCCAAGGAATGATATTACTAAAAAAGGGTCTTTGGGGTGCAGCTCCCTTCTCGAGGCAGCGTCCACGGGTACCTCTCTGCTATGTTCACTTGCTGATCAGCAATTTTTGATGTCACACAAAGTTAGGAGATCCTGCAGCCTCTTCATCAGATATGTAACCTCGCCGCTGTTTATTGCATATAGATCTCAGATATTACGTTTTACTTCAAGGGCTAGCTATATCAATCCTAATAAGTCTTGTCATTCCCCCGACATTTTTCACAGTTTGTTTTCATAAGCCTGTTGTGACTATCTCGTTCCTGCATTATGATCTCCGTATCTCTGCCTCAATCTGTGCCTCTTGGCGATGCAATTCCCGCCAACAGTCGTCATGTAAGTGAGATGCTGTCCTAGAAAGACTTTGGCTGATTTCTTCTCAGACAATCCTCTGCTCATTGCCAACCATGAAATCAATGAATGCGCTGGCTGCAGGGGAAGACTGGCTCACTTCACAACTCAAAACTCAATACCCCAGGTAAACAGAGATCCTTATAACTTCAATAACCTTTCTGATAGTTTACAGATTCTTTTTCACCGAGGACGTCCGGGAGCTAAGCGAGAGGATCTTGAGCCGTCTGGGTCTTTCTAGTGCCGATGGAGTGGCGTGTCTAGTTCTTCGGTCACTTCCTAGCGTCTCTCGCTGTCTAAAGGCAATCAAAGACGCAGGCGGCCCTAGCGATGCAGTAATTCCTGTGCAGTTTTCCCAACCCGAGAGTCTTTCCTGTGAAGCGTTCTGGTGGGATATTCATGCCATAATCTATCCAGCTCAGTATTTTGGTGCAGCTTTTACATACTGGATCAACAGTGGAGATGGGATTTCCGCTCGCCATGCCGCATTCTGCCTCACCGGGTTCGATTACCTGCAGTCCAACTCACCTAACCCTGCATTCTGCACTACCGGCCCCAAAACATTGGCCCCCGAGGGGGAGCAGATTCCCGGGTTACACACGTCAGGAGTGGTCGAACGGGATTGTATCAAACACGATATCGCAACCCTTCTTCAACCAGAGGACCCTCACCAGCCGCCTCCGTCACCTAATGATGTATTTTTGTACCCTGGTGGAATGTCCGCTATCAATGCGGTAGCGCGATGTGTGGGGGATATGGGTATTAACTCAGGTGTCTTCGCTTTTGGGTGAGTCTCAATCTACGAAAATCAAGGATGCTTGACTAAAGTAAAAGCAGTTGGCTGTACACAGAAACTGTTAAAATTCTCGAACAGCGCTGGCCAGATATTACAATCTACAAAAAGAGTGGGGATGAAGAGCTCGATCGTCTCGAAGCATACCTAAAATCTGGAACACACATCACAGCCCTATGGGTTGACGTACCTTCAAACCCGATGCTTATCACGCCTGATATGCCCCGACTTCGCCGCCTAGCAAATGAATACGACTTCTTGATTCTAATCGACGGCACTGTGGGCACATTTGTAAATGTTGACCTCTTGCCTTATGCGGATGTGCTTATGTCTAGTCTGACAAAGATGTACAGTGGGTACGCCAATGTACTGGCTGGAAGGTATGTCAGATTGCTTTTCTTCATTGTGACTAGTTGATTGACTTTTAGTCTGAAAGCGCCGTTGTAAACCCCCAGTCACCTTATTACGAGAAATTGCATTGGCACTTGACTGCCTCCTACGAGGATACCTTTTTCCCCGGAGATATTGCCGTTCTTTACGGCAATTCTAGGGACTTTGTCCACCGTGTTCAAGTTACCAACAACAATGCCGAAATTGTCGCCGCTAAGTTGGCTGCTCATCCTGCCGTAGAGCGAGTCAACTTCCCAACTATGACGGCACGGCCACAATACGAGAGTATCCGCCGCCGCGATGGAGGATACGGCCATTTGCTGAGCGTCATCTTCCACGACAACGAAACCGCTACCCGATTCTATGATGGAGTGGATATCTTCAAGGGTGGTAGTTTTGGAACGGTCTTCACACTTTCAACTCCATTCGCTCAGTTGGCAACGGATGCAGATCGGAGTCGTTTTGCCGAGGCCGGTATTCCAAGCCATATTGTTAGAATCAGTATTGGGATGGAGGATGTGGATATTCTTTTGGATACCCTTTTCAAAGCTATCGAAGTGGCTATGAGGAGAGATTAGGTGTTGAAAAGCTAATGCCGAGATTCAAGACATGGCTCGAACCGTGTCTATAAAAATTAGAGAAGAGAAGGAAACCCAACGGTCTCTCTTGGATTCAATCCTCCAATATCCCACTACCATAATTTTTAGTCGCGTAACTGGCTGGTGCAATCGGCCATTCAACAACAAGGGCGCATGCCTTAACGATAATAATCATATCCAGAAAGAATGATGTATGGAATTGAGTGGAGAATGTGGCCATTTGTCTGATATATCTAGCAGACATTTGTGAGGTCTACGAAATTGGATATGTCAAATTGGGGCGGGTAGCCGCGTGTACGGAGAATTGAACACAATGGAATTGTATCTGATGTTTATTCGTATAGATTCAGTCTGTCTATACTATATTTATTAGATTCTATGCCAAACTGCTAGTATCAACTTTGTATTAATAACTTCCATTTACTTCCAGGGCTAACCCCCAGGTCCGCCAAGCCCTTTGCCAAATGCAACTAGCGCTGCATATTGAAGCCCTAATTTCCGTATTAAGCACCACCTCCCCGGTTCCCGTCGATCAGCCTCGAGTCTTAGTCTCCAATGACCTCCAATAATAAATCAGACTGAATATAGCCTTGTTCTAGATCTCTCAACCCCAAACTCTGCAGTTCTTCTCGACCCAAAGCGGTGAATTCAAAGATCTCGGAGATTTCCAAGGTTATATTTAGCAAATCAGCCTGTCTATACTCAAGATTAGTATCAACCTCTCTTTCCAGATAAAATCATCCTCCCTCGCCCCAACCCTATAAAGTAGAAAACATGTCCCCATCTCCCCGTAGACCGATACATTCGCCGTGAAGATTCATCAACTAGACTACATAGCCAAGTCCTGCGTCAAGCGTGAAGAGTTCACCGCTACATTTAGCTCCCCTAAGCTTTCTCTTTCTCTTTTTCCCCAGCCGTTTCTTACTCTACTATTGGTTTATCCTGCATACTTACCGACCTGCATTATATATGTCCATTCCCACAAATAGCCTGACATTCGGATTCACCTCCAAATCTAGCTACACCTCTACATCGTCCGCGTTTCTGAAAGACCCGTGACTGGCTCGCGGGATAGGTGCTATGCGCTACCTACTGTGTGCATACGAGGGAATTGATCCGATTCTATTTTCGCTGTTCGCGGGTCAGTTGGATTTGGGGGCTGGATGCTCGGTATAAATACTAGCTACTAGCCCGCCTCGTTGAACCTGGTAGTAGTTATCTACTCTATACCCAGACATCTTTATTTTCTTGTGTATATTGCAATTCGCCATATTGTGATCTGAGTTTGAATTTGCCTCATGGTATACCTCGCTCTACTATACCAACAATGTCGTCAGAAGAGAACGTCACATTGGCATCGAATGTCCTCGGCACCATCGGGACTGTTCTCTGGTGTATCCAGCTAATACCACAGATCTGGTATAACTGGCGGCGTAAAAACACAGATGGATTTCCCGCTTCGATGATGTTTCTTTGGGCGAGTTGTGAGTTATTCCCGTTCTTTATTTGGGTTTGAAAGCCTCGAGGGTTATCTTTCGAGTTTTGCTATGTGGGAGATATCCGAAAAGGAAATAGAAAGGAAAAAGAAAAGAGAGCTTCTAGATTGAAATTGGCGTTTCTAACAATTATTCATGCAGGCGCGGTTCCAATGGGCGCATATCTGATTCTGCAGGTGAGTTAAATTCCCTTAATGGGTGCACTTCTTGTTTCGATGTTTCCATGCATACATTGCTGACCGCTATATTGTTCTTAGCAAGTCAATATCCCATTACAGATTCAGCCTCAGATGTTCGGATTCCTTTCTCTTGTTTGTTGGGGTCAGGTTCTCTATTATAATCAGTGAGTTGAATTGTTTTCCCCTTCCCTCTAGTCTGTGTATAAATCCGTAGTGTTCGCTTGCTGATCTCTCTGTTCTTCAATTTAATAGTAACTATACCAAAACCAAGGCTATCCTAGTATCTATGGGCACGGTTATATTATTTGGGGGATTGGAGGCACTTCTCGTTCTAACATTGAGGGTAATATCCTATTTCTTTCTATTATTCTGCAGGGAATGTAGAACCTGATCAAACTCGAACAGATACCATATAACAATGGTGTGAGATGGCCCGACATGGTGGTTGGGATTATATCCGCCATTATCCTCACTGCAGGACTGATGCCACCGTATTTGGAATTGTTGAAGCGAGATGGGCGTGTGATTGGCTTCAGTTGGTTTTCTACTTGCAACGCTTAACGTACGACTGCTGATATTAGTAGATTGGGTCTTCCTCTCCATCGACACGTTGGGTGGACTATTTTCTCTTTTTGCATTGGGTAGGACTTGCTCTACATCCCGGCAATACCTTGACGCAGCTGACACATTTCACTATAGCGGCACAAGGCTCATTCGACATACTAGGCGGGATTATGTATGTCTTGGTGGTGGTTCTTGAGGCGGGAATATTCATTAGCCATATTTCCTGGAGAATCCGGTATCGCGAGTTGCGGAAGGAAGCAAAAGATTCAGGGAAAAGTATTGATGAATTGCTCATGTTGAGGAGGAATGAAACACAAGAAATAGAGGATCCTGAAAAGGGCATTCTCCCTGCTTCTCCTGTGGGGGTTGAGGGTCGAAGGCAAATTGAACAAACGCCAACGCCTGGTGCTAAACCGGATGATTTGACTGAGAAGTGTTGATTTATGATTTATGATTTACGACATGTCCTCTGAATTTGAGGCAAAAATTGAGATCTTATTCTAGAGCGATATATGAATAACGAGATAAAAGCATAGGCGTTACCATCGTCTCAACCAATATATATTTGATATCCCAACCATCTTTCAATCGCATCCATAGCACACAAATTCCTCAATCTCAAACCCCCGAGTCTGCTTGCACAATATTCTTCGTCTTGACATATCTACTCCAAGCAGCACAATTCTCATTAAATGGAGTATAATCAACAAGACCCTGAATCTCGTCCTGCCGCTCAATAAACTGTAACGCTAGACCCTCGTCAACATGCCATCCAATATGACAGTGCATCAACCACGCCCCAGGGTTATTAGTCTGAAAAGCAATAAACAGCCATCCATTCCCAGCCAACACGGCCGTATCTCGACGCGGTGGATTCTGCGTAATGATAGAACCATCCCATTGTGGCTTCCCAGGCCCAGGCTGTCCCTGCGCCAGAATAGAAAAGTCGTGACCGTGAAGGTGGATAGGATGAGTGACGGGAGTATTTTGAATGAAGAGATATATCCATTTATTCTTGAATGCTAACTCAATCACGCCGCTTGAGTTCGAAAAGCCCATCTCATTGTGATAGATCTGCATCAGGGTTGGGTTCTCCCAGCTCACGTTCATCGAGGTGGAGTTGAATCGCCAGCGGAAGAAATTCTGTGCGTTCCTAATATTGCTGACTGTTACGTTCTTATCCCAAACTGGTGAAATTGGCGGATCGACATTTTTCGCAACGCGTGGAACTAGATTCGTCAAAAGCTCGTCTTCGCATACGTTTGTGAAGGGGAATGATTGCGTTTGCGGTTGTTTGGGCTTGTTGCCGTAGTAGACGATGCCTCGGATGTTGCCGGTCATTTCGTTTTGCGAGCATCTATCGGCTGGTATAGCTCTCATCCAGAAGGACTCGGCTACGGATTCCTGGTTGGCTGTGACGATAATATCATAGCGTTGACCTAGATATAGACCATTAGCTGGGTTGTTTGGAGCGATGGAGATAAGACCAAGAGACCAACCCATTCCAAGGCTGATGACATTCGTGACAAATGGCTTTATAGGAACGAGATCCATTGCAATGACAGTCATTGTGTGATTGTCAATAGTGAACTTCCAATGGGTGTCAATAGAAGGGTTCACTAGTCGCAACCGGTAGGATTTGCCTTTTTCCACTTTCATATGGAAAGGAGACCCCGTAGTATTCGTGCCGTTTCCATAGATATTCTTGCCATTGATGAGTCCATTAGACAACTTCCTAACAGGACCACGTAGTTGGACATCTTGGTGTAGTTGATCCACAGTTTCATGCGTCCAATCACTCAAGAACAATGCGCCCTTGTCCACATCATAATTTGCAGTTGCCGGCCCATTGATGATAATAGCCCCATATACACCCTCCCAGGCTTGTAGACCAACATGAGAGTGATACCATGAGGATCCATACTGGACAGCTCGCCATTTATAGGTCATAGTCGAGCCGGGGGCAATGGGACACTGGGTGAGCGAGGGAACGCCATCATTTGGGTTGGTGTAGTTCTGACGAATACCGTGCCAGTGGATGCTCGAGCCATTCATTGACTGGTGTAAATGGTTGGTGACGTGGATGATCACCCAGTCGCCCCAGTCTGCAATAAGATGTGGGCCAGGCAAGGTGCCATTGATTGTCATAGCTAGACGTAGAGTCTTGAAGCCATCGGGTGAGACCATGGTCTCTTTAACCTCAAACCAATATTCGCGCGTAATACCCGTGTCCGGGACGACATTTTCGTAGTCTGTGTCAATGTTGTAATTACACCAGACAGATCTGTCGTTGGGGGTATTTCCAGCACACGGAGTCCCGGTAGGCCTATAGATACGATGGATCCGAGATCTTGTGGCGATTTGTAGCAGCGTTGTCGATGGTTTGTAGGAGTAATGGGCTGCAATGCCAGCACCAAGTAAATTGGTCAAAATGGTGATGGAGGAAATTCTCATGATGGCTTGATATCAGGCTCTCAAAAGTACTGTTGATATTCGCTTTCTATGAGGATAGTTAGCACTGATTTCACCAAGTCGTGGAAGGACTTTATAGAGCTCCCTTATACACTTAAGCTGATCTTTTACGAACGCCTCTTCTGACCCAAGGCAGTCTAGCTCGTATACTGCCTCGCACATTGCTTCGCATATTGCTAGGAGGTATCGTCATCTTCGACAGACAAAAGCAGAAATAATAGCCTAAACAATGATGCCTCAGCCACGAGGCTTAAGGCCTTCCAGCTCGGTTTCAGCACAGGGCAAGACTTCGTGTCTCTCCCAAATAGATTGTTCGAAGGGGTATACATCCATGCTTCATGGGCGAGTATTGAAGATGATGCACGGGGCAACCCAGTGAGCCAAGGCCCTCCAGTTTAGTTTCAGTATGAGGTAATGCTCAGTGCCTGTTTTGAATAGATGTTCAAGGGGGTTATGTCAATGCTTCATAGGTCAGTATTGAAGATGATTCATCGAGTTGCGAGCGAGCTACAGCCATCAGGCTCGGTTTCGGAAAAAGGAGCCAGGCTTCGGTTCTGCCCAAATAGATTGTTCTAATTGGTATACTTCCAATTATTCATGAAGAACAGCGAAAGAATTTGTTTCATTGACAATCATGGTGTCTAATATAATCTAAGCTCTTGTGCGCCGTCTAGATCTGTAGAGCCACATTCACGTGGGCCATGCATTATCGTGGTCAGATCTTTTTCTTTTCGGGGCTTTACACAGAGACCAGTTTCGTGTCTGAGAGTTCATCCTAGCTATGAAACAGTCAGGCTGGGTGGCATATGGGTTATTCCCGGCTTTACCTCGTGGGTATGAAGTTCGTATTCCAGAGAAAAGGGGATGCAAGCATGATGGCGAGCCAATCTATGTAGTTTCGAGCTAGCGTGTGAAGCTGATGGTGTGACCACGAGCGTCATCTGGGCAGTGCCCACTCAGCTATGTCAGCCTTAAAAGGAACTTTGTAATTAAGGGGCGTGATCTCAGGAGATCCAGGATAGGCAACACAGAACAGTAGCAAGGGTTCCTAAACCATCCAAATGGGAGCTTCTGTCGCACGAGTTTCGTATATGGCTCAGCTTACGAAGCAAGCTCTGGGTTCGTCCCAGTTTGCCTTCCGATGAAATGAGAAGGAAGCTCTCTAGAATGTAGATATATGAAAGATGGGTTCAAAAGCACCCCGATGGAACTCTTTTGATAGCAGTATACCTGGACCTTCTTGGCATCAGCTTCAAAACATGACTTCGATTATCTTCGTGATTCTTGCGATCTTTGCGGTTAGTTCGGCACATCCAATGGAGAAGCGACAGGATGATGGTTCGTGGAGTTTATATGCATATGGCCACAACACTGACGGACTACCCATCTTTTATGCAGATGGTAAACATCTCTCACCCGTATATGAGCACCATTAATCCTATTTAATTTATTAGGTCAAGCCCAGATCGGTGATATGGCGCTATCAAACGCAACCAATAAGTTCACATTTTCTTGTAGACCTTGAACGATTATGAGGGATAACTGATATCTAATTTGACTACAGTGACATTTGGCGACGACCTAAACACTTGGGCTGCTCATTCCGATAACACGACCACCCTGGATGATACTACCAATCTGCTGGGATTAAGTGACACTGGCTCAATGGCTTGTCCAGTCGTTTTTACCACGAATCAAGCAAGTAATAACACAAACGTGTGGGCACCACAAACCGACGTGTGGACCTTATATGGCAAATATGTTGTGTGTAACCAGGATAAGGTCAACTTCTACGCCCAGCGGACAGATCAAGATGGATGGTATGTCTTACTATGGAGTGCAATGGTAGATGCAGCTCTGGAGAATATCCCGGTGACTCTAAGAACCATCGGCCCTGCCTTGGGCTAAGCTGTGGTGGGTGTGTTAGGCTAGTGGCTATCTAGGTATATGTTGAATCGTGTTATCCAGTTCAAATTCTTCATCAATATGAAGGTGTCTTCACTAGCCACTTTGCTAATTATCACGAGGTTCTTTAAATAAAGCCGTATGCACAGGCATAAAGCTCTTATATATATGTTGTGTTTTAGCCCAATATATCCCCCTTTCCTACTAAGAGAACAGTGTTGAGACCACCCATCCGCTATCGCATGATCTTCTGAGGAAAATGGCCTGTGTTCAATCATGCGAATGGTCGCAACATATAGCTTTAGGGTGGTTGAAGCGTATGGAAGACCAATATTTTAACTGTCGGCGATCGATGAACCGGCAAGGCCTCGTACGTCTGCTTTTTACGATATCCGTCCGTCAATTTGGTATACATCCCGATACGAAAAAAGGGGGGCTCGCTTGTGGCGAGCTACATACTCTAGTGGTAATTTACGACTGACATTTCCAACGCCGAACATCCTATAGCTAGTAGCATATCCTCATGGAAGAAGCTATGGATCAACAGCTGCTACCGTTTGTGAAATATTCTGACAAAGACAGAATGTAAGGATATACCTCAAAGCAAACAACCCGATGATCATCACGAGGGGTACAGGCTGTATAGGGAAGTAAATGATCGATGGACTCCTTATGAATGGAGGACGCACCAGAGGGGTTTTAATATCACAGAAAGTACCCCACTCAATGTTGGGCGCAATGATAACAATGACTTCCGGACCCTGAAACCTGGGAAATCCTGGTCGTTCACCCGCGAAGTGAGTGAGTTTCCAAAGGATGTAGCTCCAGGTGATAGATTCCAGTATCTATTCAAAGGAGCTACGCTTGATTGGTGGAATTGGGGCAATTTGAAAGACCATGAAGAGACCGTCGTTTGGGTGCCTGGGTGGCTTGTGGCCAAGGTTAAAGATCCTAAAGACAACGACGGTAGACCTACGGTTGTGGTGCCAGTTAGCAATGAGGTGAAATTTACATTAGTTGATTGAGACTCTCATGTAAATACAAGCAAAAGACTCTACGTCCACTCCTTATCCCTTATCACCCCAAAAGCGGCTCTGTCTCGCCCTCTTGTATGGCAATAGCTGCAGGTGGGCGGCGCAGAGCTATTACTAGGAGCGCTGTCTGGCCTAGGGCAAAGATAAAGGCTTCCACGATAACCCATCCGACGAACACATACCACGTACTTAACGGCGGTCCAGTTCCAGTGCCCAATTATCTCATCAAATTCGAATGGAAGACTCCATATCCATGCCACCGCGACTAGCATAAACACGACAGCTTGGATAGCTAGACTATGCATGCTTAGCGCATTAGGGAGAGGCAATTTGCAGATCTGACGAGCTTGGAGGAATATGGCTAATATTCCTAATCTCGTAATGATTGGAAATACAATAACCATGTGCACGATAGACCAAAATGTCGAGAATATATTCCGATCTAGGCCCAGGCCAGAGGGACTCTATACGTATCCCTTATATTGTAAATCGGCCGAGTCTTGTACTCGCACTCCTATTATAGAGTCCTTCTCACTGTTGTCGAGTCTATTCTATTCCATTGTGTTCTGCTCTTTATGTATCTATAGGGGTATAAAGTCCATAAATAGTATTTCCTTATCCCATACATGCTTCGTACATTATCTGTACTGTACATTTCAACAAAACAGATCCAATTTACCATTCTAATAATAGATATGTTTCTTTTACCCCAAAACCTTCCAACATTAGCCATAAAAGGCCATAGCTTTTTTATTAGTCGGGAGATCAGCAACTAACGTGACTTAACTTGACTGCCCAAAGGTGTCACACCTTTTCCCCTCTTGACTTCTTTGAACTTCTGACCTCTCCTTTTTGAAACTAAACATATTCCTCTTCATCAGATCAACCTTCAAGAGACAGAAAAAGAGAATCTGTTTCTCAGAATGGGCATGAAGGCTCACGATGACAGAAAGGATATCACGTCTTAAGGCAAAATTGCTTGGACGATTATCACCAAAAGCGGATGCCGACCCGAGTTCCCACCCCAAACCCCCGAGCCCTGACTCCAAATCTCCGTATAACACAGAGGAGATCTCTCGGGAACCCCTGTCTTCAGGAAAGGAATTAGGTTCCGTGTCTGCCGAACACATACGGACTCGCAATTGTACCCCGTCAACTGAACCATACAATTCTTCTCTGCCGACTCCTATCTCGGACCCTCCGTCTCCCCTCGAAACCCCTCCGTTCGCGACTCCTCAGCATTCCGATAGCACCTCCTTCCAGTCCCACTTGAAAGCTCAAACACCAATCGAGACTCAATTGACTCCCACCCTGGATACTGTCGTCGAACGGCCTACGAATGATCGCCGACCTTCTACTTCCTACTTTCCTCCCTCGAGCAAGCGCCCGAGCCTTGCGATCCGTCGTCAATCTCTTCTCCCACCATCGCATCAACACTTGATTAGTGGCCTATTGGAGGCGAATCTTTTCTCTTCAGACCAAGGCAGTGGTTTCACACCTCTCGTTCCTCACGAGATGGTCACACGTAGGATTTGGGTCAAACGGCCCGGTGGCTCGGCCACCTTGGTGCCGTGCAGAGAGGATGCGGTGGTAGATGAGCTACGCGACCAGGTGATCATGAAATACGGAAACTCATTAGGGAGAAGCTTTGACTCGCCCGATATTGTTATAAGGATTTCACCACGAGAGGGTACGAATCGATCAAGTCACCCCGAGCGCCTCTTGAGCCCAGAGGAAGTCGTGGCGTCTATACTCGATACATACTACCCTGGAGGACAAAAAATTGAGGAAGCATTGGTGATCGATGCGCCGTCGCGCCGGACCCCAAAGCCATCCCCACGTCATTCGATCTACCAGCATCACCACTCGGAGCCTGGCGAGCATGGCGATTATTTCCCTCTCATGCCGCCGGTCAATGCGACCGCAGGTACACCGTCTGCACATTCGGGAGCTCCATCAGCATCGGCTAGTGCGCCGTCAATTTCCATTCTCAACACCGGTGTTGCTCCTTTGCTGCCATCCCCAGGAAGTCGTAGGGCACGGCATCAGCAGCGGCCTCCGTTGACACGACACAAAACAAATTCTCCCACAATTCTCCATACCAAAGCTCCCGCTATAACAGGTACATTTCCGGACATATTTGCTTTTCTCAAAATGGCCACTAACATCCATAGAAACTGGCGCCACCCCTCATTCCCAACCTGTCCCGGCTGCCGCCCCCGCAATGCCGACACCCCCGGCGGCAGCACCGCCGGTGGAATCTCCGCAGGTGAAATCACACACTCCCCCGGCAGCTGCATCACCACGCGTGGTCCGAAAATCAAAAGCGGCCACTTCTCCTGGCGCTATGTTTGGCGGCTTAATTGACGGCACTGTTCCGCCAATCAATGTCCTCATTGTGGAAGACAACATCATTAACCAGAAGCTTTTGGAGGCTTTCATGAAAAGATTGAAAGTTCGTTGGAAATGTGCAATGAACGGCGAAGAGGCAGTGCGGAAATGGCGACAAGGCGGATTCCATTTGGTTTTGATGGACATCCAGCTCCCCGTGATGAACGGTCTGGAAGCCACCAAGGAGATTCGTCGCCTGGAGCGCTTAAATGGCATTGGTGTCTTCCCGAAGACAGCCTCTGGACGTTTCAGCGCGTCCAATACGTCTGCCGCAGATAGAAGACCCGGCCTTCACCGTACGGTCAGTGAAGAGGACACTTTATCAGATCTCTCGCTGTTCCGTAGTCCGGTCATTATCGTCGCGTTGACAGCTAGCAGTCTGCAAAGTGACAGACATGAGGCATTGGCTGCTGGCTGCAACGATTTCCTGACCAAGGTATGTCAAGCTTCCTATTGGGACTTATCTTTTCTGAAATAGTATGCTAATATTTCTCGAATAGCCTGTCGGATTCCCCTGGCTTGAGCAGAAAGTGACAGAATGGGGCTGCATGCAAGCCCTGATTGACTTTGAAGGTTGGCGCAAATGGCGCGGTTTCCTAGACTCTCCTCGCCCCGCCTCACGCCCCCCCTCGCCAGGCGTTGATACAACAGCCAGTCCGATGCAAGGTGGCTACCGCAAAGAACCACCAAAGGTTGACCCTCCATCGCCTTCGACCTCCCGTGTCGCTAGTAAGTCTGATCACCTCGAGCCCAAGCGACACCTGCCAGACGCGCAAATTCTCCGGGAAGATTCATGGGGCAGCGGCAGTCCCGACACCATAGATTCACCCTTGAGTCCGCATTTGCCAACGCCGGGCGACGTCGCGCCAACTAGTGACGCGACGACCGCACCGGATGAAAAATGATTTTTGCTTTGGATTGGTTACCATGTCTTGCTCCCTACACACAATCTTTTCCCAACCTCTTTGATTCGACTTTGTATCTCTCCTATCGAATACCCCGTATAGCAATCTTTTCTCTTCCATCTCATCCTTTCATTTTCTTGTCATGGTAGCATGCACTTTTCCTCCGAGGCTCTCAGACTCAGTGCATGGTTTTCCTCGTGGATCTTCATTTGGCTGCATGGATATATTTTGTTATTTTGGGCTGCATACATATCTGCCTGCGAACTGTTCCCGCCCTGGCTGGTTTCTTTTGTCTACTCTTGCATACGACTCCCATGCGATGGACATCCTCATATACACGAAGGAGATGTCCCTATGTCTCTATCTTTCAGTGTATACCTTTCTTTGTTTTGCCGGGGGTTTTGGTGTATCCTCCGGCCTTGTACTTATTTCACTAATTCTCTAAGGGCCCATGATTCGTGTAGGTACATTGATTGTATCCAAAGTAGTTGCTCAGTCCTCGAGCCTTTTTGAGGTTATAAGATTTATAGCTCCCACCTATCCCTGCGCATGCATTCTCCGAAGCACCGGAACAAAGAAAATATTTCAGCCAAACTGTCTTCAGCCTGCATTGTATAAATTATTCCTTTAGTTCTCTCGCATCCATGGTAATACAACATCCCCAACAAAGAACTCACCCAATAACTACTAACTAAGTTGGTCATATTCACAATATTCGCAAGCCCTAAGTTCAAAGCCAAACACCAGAAAGCAACATACCAGAAGTAGGATCTGCACATCGCTACATCCAGAGTCCCTCTGTACAACAAAAGAAGCTTTCCGAGAAATGTCGAGTCATTGATGAAATCCGGAATTTGGAGCCCTCACGCAAACTATGCAGGTGATCTAGATCTCTTTGTCTTTTCCATGTGATGTTCGTATTTGTCTCCGAACTAAATACCAGCCTTCGAACGTTTATATCCCTCAAATACTTTATCTTATATTCCCTCAACAGTAACACTCAAGACATACTACTATCACCTACTACTATCATCTCCCGTCAAACCCCAAACCCCAAACCCCGCACCCCCGCACTCAGCTTGACCATGTCATCACATCCACCTTACACTACTATCTCATGGCTGCAGAGTGCCCTTGCTTCAATTGGGTCTATTTTCCAAAAGGAAGATGAGTCTGAATCCGATGCGATTTCCGGATGGGTTGGGACGAAGAGACGACGGTGTCGGTCTGTTGGGGGAGGTCATTGAATGTTGACTCTAATTAATCCCTGACGGGAGAATCGAAACCGAATAGGAATGGAAGGGGAATTGGGAATATCTTGCTGTTTGTTTTTTTCTTGGGAGGTGCTGTGTATTGTGATTTTGGTGTCTGGAGGTTATTATGTCCTCGTTCTTTTGTTAGGGCTTGCTGGACTTGGGGAACGAGATGTGGTGTTTATCGAAGTAGTTGATTTGGGAATATGAATGGCATATACGATTACTCTATATCGGCATTAATATCAAGATTGATACTTTAAACTAACCTTGCTATAGAATTGAAGAATAGGCTATAGAGACTTGAGTACTTGATTTACACATTCACTACTACTTGTTTATAGTATAAGATCTATTCTACGATCTTCCCTTAAGCAGTCAACTGTATACTTGAGATATCCCCAAGAATACACTATCCAATCGAGCGTGGCCATTAGAACTTGGAGGTTTCAAGATAGAGTCGCCTATTCTTGGGGATGGTTGAATGTTCGCGTTTATAGTGTCTTATATTAGGAAGGACAAGTCTCTATTCGTAACAAGTCCCAAGTTTGGGGTCTAAAGTTGACAAGATCATCCATCGGGCAAGCAGAGGTTCTGGGGCTATGCCCCGGGGACCGGGATAGTTCAAATCATGTCGATCACCAGGCTATGCAAGATCAAAATACAAAGCAGATTTAAGGGTAAAATGGATCAAATTATCCGGTATATAGGTACATAATCAACCTCCTTCATACATCCATGGATGAGTAGCATACAAGTAAAATTACAAAGGCCGTAGCCAAGTTGCTGAAAAACACAAAAAAAGAAAACAGCCCTGAGGACTATCTCAAAATCAAGCCTCCACACGGGTAGGAATCTTGACTTCGCCGCGTGTGCGGTCGCGGTGAGGCACACCGTAACGACGACCAGCAGCCTTTGAACCACGGCCATCAGCACCAGTGGTCTCCTTGGTGTAGATAGTATCCTTGATACGGTAGTCGAAGCGCGAGTCCTCCGGGGAGACCAAGGTCACCTTCTTCTCACGGTGAGCCTGCATGCGCTCACGACGTGCTTGCTCGATTGCGTCCTGGCGCTCGAGTCTCTTAGATTGCAGGTCCGCAACAGCCCGATACTCGTTGGGGTGCGCGAGGCGGTCCCGCTCCAGGGCAACCAGGTGAGGGTGAGGAATGCGCACATCGGCAGGCTGCAGGATCTGGCGGGCATTGTCGCCCTTGCCGACCCAGCCGATGGAGTTGGGATCCTCGAGGATCTTTTCGGAGAGGTCGGAGGGGTGGGAGATTTCAGCGGCCTCGGAGTGCTCCATTGCTGGGGCGCCGGAGAAGACGCGACCGGCCTCAACACGGTTGAATGAGCGGGATTCGGGGACTGGGTAGAAGATTTGAGAGCCTGTCAGGGGGTGGGCGGGGAGGTCGTTGATGGGTTCGTGGTATGTTTGACGTTCGCCTGGCTCGGCGAGGGGTGTGGTGGGGACCATCTCGTGGATGGCCCGGGCATATGGTAGTGCTAGGGGTTTACCCTGATTCGAGATTCGTCAGTTTATGTCACGCGACCAAAAAACTTGATAGGAATCCAAAATGTAAAGGTAACACAATTCAGTTCAAAAATGGGTATAACCATGTGGGTGTCTTCAAGACTAATCGATTTTTTGTGACTCATCATATGCGTGGAGGGTCGAAGCAAAGTCCGGAAACGAGGGAAAAAAAAGTAGAAAGGAAAGACGATTCTTACCTGTGTGCGCTGCCTCTTCTCCAATTCCACCAATCTCACGACAGCAGCAATACGCTTCATATCGATTCCAAGGTCCACGCTGACAACACGGACACTCTTCTTCTGTTCAACGACGCGGTGATAGACTTCATTCCGTAGCTCCTCACTGAGAATCGGCTCGCTGACGAAATGTCGGTTATCGGGGAACGGACGCGACTTCTCGCCGCCGCCATCGCCTTTTAAGCGGGTAATGTAGTTGGGTTCTCCAGGAATGTGGTGTTTGAAAACGGCTCCTTCGTTGTTAAGCCATTCGAACATCTGCCGACGGAGCTTGGTCTGTCCTTGTGATGCTGCCGTGGCAGAGAACTGACGCGAAAGGCATTGTGATGATGTAGAGGATAATGAAGGAATGGAAGAAAGTGAGGATGAGGAAGAGGGAGCTGTAAGGTAGGGAAGAAGGGTGTTGGACACAGTCCGGCTTTGTATCCGGGGTGGCATCTTGGGAGGATATGAGAGGGGAATAAGAGGAAGAATTTAATGATAAACTGAATGAAGTTGGCTGGATATTAAGAATCAAGGAGATCCAGCTGCCATTGACCCTTTTGCAGCAATAATTGAAGGATGGGAGTTTGTCGGGTTGGAGCGGGAGGTGTAGGTGTCTGCAGGGGAAGAAACTTCTCGGTAGTGGCATCACGTGACCCATATCCACTTGTATACAGCCGAGTAAACATCTTCCTCACATTCCCTATATCGACACTTAGAATATAATAATAGCTTTAAATGATTCTGAGTACATCTACTCTCACAATACAAGCCCCAAAGGATCCGTTTGAGAGATCCCACTACATAAAGGAAGAGAGGCGACTAAAAGAATGTGAAAAAAGAATCCCATGATTATCTCTGTACTAGACCTTGATATTATTATAAATGAATTAGATGGGTTCGTTCTCCAGTGTAACTGGAACCAGTTCATTGTATCAAGTACAGATTGAAGCAAATGTATCGGTATCATACCCCCAGCAAGAGGGGGTAAGAGAAAGAATAAGAATAATAGACACGCCTCGTTTCTTCATTCTTCTCCTGGAAAAGCAGCAAGCCAGACCCAAAGCAAAACGAGTGGCAATGCAAGCAAGATGGAAGAAGAGCTTTCAAGCAAAATGCATGGACTGGACGTCTTCGTCTCCGCCGAGATGAGAGGCATATGGCAGGAGAAATAAAACAAACGCGAACACCTGGGACAATATGCGGTCGACGTGAGCCGATGTCATGTCATTCCATAGCTCATGCCATTGAGTAGAGAGATATTAGAAGCTAAAGAAAGCCACATAGGACGCTTCTTTTCGTACTTGCATAGAAATAAACACGCATTGCAATAGAGAAAGCAAGTAAATCAGCAAAATCCTTTCCGATCCACGCAGACGATGCATCGAGAAAGATCCAGGGGATAGATGTAACAAAACAGGGGGGAATCACGTCAGAATAAAGTAAATAAGAGCTCGTATAGATCCTCGTTAGGGCAGACAGCAAACACGCATTAGTGTGCATTGCCTATTGAGTCAGGGGTAAACGAGCGAGATAAACAAAGATAAAAGCAAAAAAACATGAGGGTATGAAGGTGTGAACGAAACGCGATGGCAGAAACAAACACGCTCTCAAGCGCCTCGCACCGACCAAATAAGAATACAAGTTTGGCAATGACCTGAAATGCAATCCTCCCAATGAAAAGAGATAACAAAAAAAAAAGGAATGTAAGAGCGCCCAGGTTCCCATGCAACAGAAAGACGAAAAGCCAATAAAAGAACTGGCAGAAAAAAGGAGGGGGGAAAAAAACAGAAAAGCAAATCCGAAACAGTACTCCCGAGAGTTATGCAGCCGCCGAATGCTGATCTAGCTCACGAAATGAAGATCCCCAAATGCGCCAGATATCCCAGTTCGTTCAAACATGCCGGGCATTATCTTAATATAACGCTTGAATGGGCTTAACGACCCATCATGTAGTCAGGGTAAAAGGAATTATAGCCGTTCAGGTTCTGTGCCGTGTTGTTGTTGCCGCTGGTATTAGAAGGGGGCGGCGGCGACATCATCATTGAATTAGCTCCGTTTCGGATTCCCAGGCCCGAGTTGGGGTTGTATGAGGCATTGCCCATCACACCAGAATGCGGATTGACGGGGGTGTGCATAGAGTTACCATTGCGCATCGGCGGCGCAGGCATGGGCATACCAAGACCAGGAGGTGCTGCTAGTCCAGGAGGTGGACCGTTGACAGCCGAGAACATGTTGTTGTGCATTCCACTTAAGCTGCTGCCTCCAGGAACCGCGCCCTGTCCAGAGACCGCGTTTGCCGAGTTCATGCTGCCAGGCTGACCAGAGCGCACACCTAAGGGATTCTTTGAGAAGCTGAGACGGATGCCAGTCTTGACACTGTTCGATAACTTGTAGCCGTACAGCTCATTGAGCGCTTTGCTGGCCATGGCGACCTCGTCGAATTCCACAAAGCACATGGGTCCGTTCTGCTTGTTTCGGAAACACAGTCGCTTGTACCCGCGTTGTTTGGAGAAAAGGGCTTTGAGTTCCTCCTCAGAAGTGTCCGGTGGCAAGTTACCCACGTACAGAGTGTTGCAAGGAGGATTCAAGTCATTCGGGTTCGCAGCAGGGAGGCTGTGGCGTGGTGTATGCTGAGCGCTATATGGGAAACCATGGCCTTGGCTCGGGTACGCAGATGTGGATGTTCCACCGCCCATGCGTTGTGCGCCACCTCCAGGGTAGTTCTGCAAAGGTGGCGACATGTTGGTCGACAGAGACATATTGGCAAAACGGTTGGTCGGGATTTGGGGGTTGGTCGCCCGGCGCCCGGTGGAAACGTTGGTAGTATGGCCATTCTCTGCATAGCCCACCGGATCCTTGAGCAGCTCGCCGGTCTCTTCATCCGGGTCTTCATCAATCATAGACTTCCCGGTTATGCGTGGGAGGTTATCAATGCCATTTCCGATCGGAGATTGTGGGGAGAAAAGGCTGTGCATACGCGAGCCAGATTCGGAGGTCGGAGGAAGTCCTTCACCGATAGGCTGGTTGGGGTTGGAGAGCCTCTCTAAGCTCTGGAAAGTGCCGTTGAAGCGTGAGGATTGACGCGCAAGGGGACCGTTCGAGGCACCCATTAACGCACGACTCGCGGTATGATCGATGGTGTTACGGCGCGTGTTCGACAGATTCGCTCCGATCGGACCGGGGTACATCTCGACGACCATGTTGGCATCATTTTTCGAGTTTGGCTTGCCATCGAGAAGGGATCTGGCCTCTTCGGCGGCTGGCAAAGTTATGAATCTCGCGATCGCGGTCAAGAACCCATCATCCTCGGGCAAATCTAGGGTCACAAAGTCCGCATCAACGAAGTCTTTGGCGAAAAGAAGCATGCTGCGCAAGGCCTCGCGACTAGTGTTTCGTGGAAGTTTGCGCATGAGAATCGCGCCTCCGTTTCCGCGATTAAGGCCATTCAGGCCCTGGAGGTTGCGATCGTTATCCAAGCGCATGTTGTTATCGAATGAAGCTGTTGTACCGATAGGGGAGAAAGGGTATGAGAAAGAAGGGTTCATAGATGATGGCGCTTGCGACGCATTCGGACTATACACGTCGGTCGACATCGCATGCTGAGCCGTCAAAGGCGCCTGCGAAGAAGGGAGTGACTGCTGTGGGGGCGAACCAGATGACACGGACTCTGTGAGTTGTGTAGTTCCAAAAGACCCGGGACTCGTACGAGTGGACTGGCTAGAGCTGCCGCTCATCCCTCCACAAGATTTGAATTTTTTTGAATTTTTTTTTTCGCCTTTCGAGGGGGTTCGCGATCACACAGGGGAAGATAGTCCAGGTAGGGAAAAAAAGGAGTCGCGGGATGTGAAAATTCGAGGTATGGCGCAGTGATTGGTAATGCGACAAGAGATAGACCAGACGCGCAATAGATATGAAGGCGAATGGGGGCGATTAGCGATTCGATCGAAAGTCGAGTTCCGGATGGTGTCTCATCGGATTTGCGACAAGTTGGACTAAGAGCGCTTTGAAAACGATTGAGATAAAGATGGATGACAAGAATGGTTAGATGCAAAAGGGAAAAAGGGTTTGAAAGGAGGGGAGAAGGAGAGTGCAGGGGAGGGGGGGAAGAAAAGAGTCCGGAACGGTCGAGTGCCAGTCCACAAGTGCCAGATCCATGGATCTGCCCTTCACGACGCGACTCAATGGGGAACAGGTATGTGACAGTGGGTGTACATGGGGTTATATGTAGATCCTCGTATTAAAGAATGTACTTAAAGGTATATGACAGTACATGGTCATAATTTTACATAATTTTACACAATCTTACATGTTGGCCCTGGAACCTGACCGCATGCAGACAGTTACCAAGTGCGTGCCCCGTGTGGAATGTCCTTTTTTTTCTTTTTTTTTCCCCCTTAAGATCGACGAGTGGATCAATGAACCTGTCTCTTCTAGAAAAGCACCGGCCATGCAAGTGTAGCCTATGCGGCTTGCCGTACCCCGGCTCTGCACGAGATTGGGGCTCTATGAAACACATTTCAAATGTTTTCCAACGTTTAATTGTACAACTGTAATCTTAAGGTATCAAATACAATACTTCTTTACAGTTTTATTGGATAAACCTTGATGTTTACAACTGCCGGTCCAGATCGTAAGAACCAACGGCTTTTGATATTTGTATGATATTTCTGTTTTCCTAGTTACATCTAACCCATTTGGTAAATCACAAAAGGTCATCACACACGTCCACGGAATTTTCAAAGTCAAAAACTGGCGATCCTCCAGGGTCACTGACCAATTGCCACGAGTTCAACCCCGGTAACACATGGGATTGGCTACTACGGGGAAATGACTTGGACTTTCCCGGGCTTATCGAGGGGGGCGAACATTCATTTGGTTGGGCCGTGGAGAGAAGCCACCTACTTTAGGGGGCTTTATTAACACTTCTTCAGAACGTGTGCCTGAACTGGTCATAGGCGCGTCAAATGTTTCGAGAATACGATCGGTTTTTTAAGATTTACTTTAGCTGTATACCTCATGACTCTAAGCATTTATGGGCTAATGCATACATATGTATGCCATATATATGCTACCTCGGGAGCATGTGCCTACATAAACATGTGTTTTAGAAAAGTAGATATTCATACGGCTCATCAACCGCGTAGAGTCAAGGCCAGGCTGCCACATAATATACAGAGATTCCCAGGCAACTCAATAACGCCAAAAATGCCATCAGAAAACAAAAGAAACAAAGCGCGACTTTCGACTCCGTCATTGATGGTGTATGACTCAACTTTTCCATGGTTCGAAGATGTTGTCCAGCCGAGTACACAAAGAATGTCGGAGCGCAGAACCTTGGAAAGTCATATAGAGGTCAGGAATGACAGCTACAAAGCCTCGAAGAGTCAAGGAGTCAGGCAAGCAGAATCAAGCTTTGTCAAAGGTAGTAGGTTTGGGCGCAACAAGGCCAGCCTAGAGATTCAACAGTTAGCAAAAGCAGTCCGCATAACAACAACGTAATCCCCGGGCTATATGATCTGCTGAAAATGCAGACCCGACAATAGCCGCTCATCTCCCTCTGATTATCAAATTCTGGATATAGAAAACAAGGGTTCGCCTTACCATGCTCATCAGCTTCCAGACGGGATCACTAGGCTGCGCACCAACACCGAGCCAGTACTTTGCGCGTGACCGGTCCAGGGCAATCTCCTTATATGGGCGGGCTTCGGTATTCTCATCGTACAAGTTTGTGGGACGTTTGGGGATGGGGTTGTAGGTGCCGATAACTTCGAGGGGCTTAGCGCCGCGAGCGGAGCTGGAGATATAAGGTCAATTTCAATTCTTCTTGAAGATACAGTGCACAATGGATTAAAGCACTCCCTAGCCTGGCAACGTCGGTGTTTGGCGTTGGAGGCTAGGTGTATCGGTGATATCCATTTAATGGGGAGAGACCACATACCGGGCTTGCGCAACGACGATGTTAAAGAAGGGGTTGTGCTTGTTGCCGAAGCGTGCGAGTCGAATCCGGAGAACCATTTTGGCAGATGTGTAATGCTTTTTTCGATTGAAGACGCAAGACTGTTCTTCCGATGATCCCAACTGACCTCCGCAAAAGTTCTAGCGGAATAATTATTGATCCGATACAGCCATTTATGGACTAGCGCAGGTGTGATGTAATGGTGTGAGGACCCTCAGTAGATCTACTTCCGGAGCTACCTGTCACTTTGATTAACACAATTTTGCCAATATACTCAATTAAACAGAGATCAACTCCGAGATTAACATACTTGCATGATTCGCTCTACCGTCACACGTTTTCCTCTGACTCAAACTATTCGTCGCTATAGTAAACCAGCAATAATGTCGTTGAAGGTATAGTTGTCTGGTATTAGCTCCAAAAACATACAACTAACAGCCGTCACAGGCAATCTCAGCCAAAGATGCCGCATCACTTGACAAGGACCTCATGGAAACCGGCGGCTGGTCTCTAGACCAGTTGATGGAGCTAGCAGGCCTTTCTGTCTCGCAAGCTGGTGAGCTCCATTGATCTTGAACATGCATTCACGCCATACTGATGCAATGGGCAATCAGTATGGAAAATCCATCCCCCGAGTGCAGGCAAGAATATCTTAGTTGTCTGTGGGCCAGGCAATAATGGTGAGAAGGAACCCCAATATTTCCGTTGTGAGCAACAGCAACCTGACAAATCCCAGGCGGAGATGGCCTCGTAGCCGCTCGACACCTCGCACACTTTGGCTACACAACATCGGTGTACTACCCAAAACAAGGCAAAAACGAGCTCTACCAAGTACGTAGCACCGAGTACCAAAAGCGCTCTAGGAGCAAGAAGCAAATCTAACCGAATCTAGCGCCTCAAAATCCAACTCGAAAACCTCTCAGTTCCCTTCATAGACGACTTCCAACAAGGACTTAAGACAACAGACTTCCTCGTTGACGCAATCTTCGGCTTCTCATTCGGTGGACCTTTGCGCGATCCCTTTGGCGAAATCGTCTCTCAAATTGAATCTTCCAATGTCAAGGTGCTGAGTGTCGATGCGCCCAGTTCATGGGATATCCAGAGTGGACCGCCAAAGGAAGGCCACGGTGCGAAATTCATGCCGCATGCGCTGATCAGCTTGACTGCACCGAAACCGTGCGTGGCGTTTTACCGGGGCAGGCATTTTATTGGCGGTAGGTTCTTGACGAAGAAAATTGCGGATAAGTATGGGCTTGATTTGCCCAAGTATCAGGGTGTGGATCAGGTTTTGGAGATTGGGGTTGATGCGGAGGGAAGATTGTAAGGGAATAGATGGATGGTGGCTTACAATGCTACTTGACTCAAAACTGAGAGCACATTTACGAGTTATCTAGTACGAAGTGGAAGAGAAGTCATGAATAACCTTTGTATGGGAATCGCGTTGTCGTCGTTAAAAAGTAATGCGTCTTTGATGTACGCATACCGAATAAAAAAATAGCACGCACTCTTAGAGAGCCTCCCGTATCTCGGCAATAATACCCTTGATACGAGGCTCCTTTCCAGGACCGGAGGCAGAAGCTCTCGTGAGAACCCCATCGACCTCGTAGACCTCCTTGGCAGCACTCTTAACCTCTTCCCCGAGCGCTGTCACCAGAGTGCCAAGCGCGACGAGCGCTCGGTAAACCGCCTCTGAGTCCTTCTCTCCAGCGATGATGCGAGTCAGTTCCTCTAGGAGGACCAGACCTCGCTCCGCGGACTCTGGAGATTGGTTCCTGCCTTCGGAGGTAAGATAAACTGCGAAATTGATGTACAACGTCGTGATGGCGATTGTAAGGTTGCGGTTCGGTGACTCTCCACTGCTGGCCAAAGCAGACTTTACTCCTGCCAGGATCTGATCAAATGAGCTTATGGCTAGGTCGCGTCCGTCGGCCGTCTCGAATAGATTAGCAAATGTCCGCATTGCGAGCATTGCGTTGTTGACGCTAAGAGGAGATTCAAAAACACCGCTGGATATCACACCCGACACGACGTTTTCATCTTTATACTCGGCGGATGCTGTAAATGGCGCGGCTGCCGCCAGTAGACGGAGAATATCTAGGCCAGGGAGTCGTTTGGCAGCAGGCCACGTTGTGGCGATCTTGAGAATCAATGGCACTCCAGACTCCACCTCGGGTGAAACTTTAAGCTGTTGGGAGGATTCGAGCTGACCGCACAAGGCGACAACCGTTTCCACCTCTGAGGGGCTCAAAGCCACGTCCTTTGCTCCGTCGGACACAAGCTGTGCGTTTAATTCTTGAAGCTTCTTCGTGATAACTTTGAGGTTTGCTGTGCGGATGGAGAGATAGATCTTCTGAGGGAGCACCTTGGGGCGTGGCTCGGGAGCAGGTGGCTGAGGCTCTCCAGTAGGCGCCGCGGCGTCTCCTGGACGGTAACGTCGGTCTGAGCCCCAGGGATCAGCACCTGCGGGTTCCTCAGCTTGCCCAATGGTGGCACCTTGAGTATTCTGAGTGATAAAGTTGGCAACCTGATCCAAATAAGTCATAGGGAGTTCGTTGTCTCCAATAAACTTAGTCGCGGCCTCATATGGATTCTGTGAGGCATTGTATGGTAGTTTCAGCGGAGGTTTGCCATCCTCTATGTCAACATCGAAAACGTAGTCATAATCCTGACCATGGTATTCGGTCTTTCGACCACTGCTACCAGCCGAGTCGACTACCATACCAATAGCAACCCATTCCTGTGTCGCTGACGACCAGGTGTGGGCGCTGACAGTACCACCAGGCTCTCGGATCATCTGAACCTGACCTTCCTTAGTTCCGGACTTTTCTTTGAGGAATTCCGGACCAGGTAGCTCTTCTTTATTAATCTTTCCAACTTGTTGCTCCGGAATAGCTGACTCCTTAACGGCCTGGTCAAACTGTTGGATGGCCTCCGGGGCTGCATGACGGTCAGGGCTTCGACTAAAAACACGAGTAATGCGGTCACTAGCACCGGTGACGATATCACCGGTCTCACTGCAAGCTGCGACACTCCAAACTGAGATTGCGGGATGGGTGATTGTCTGTACACATTGTGTGCCGTTCCAAATTTTCACGGTGCGATCTTCACTGGAGCTTACCAGCTCGCCAGATGGCAGCGCAGCAAGGGAGTAGATGAAGCTTTCATGGCCATGCAGAGAGGCGACCAGTTGACCTTGGAGTGTGTATAGACGAATGATTCCATCATTGCTAGCTGATGCAAAGTGGGCTCCTGTAGAGTTCGATGCAGGAAGCTTGCACAAGGCCCGGACAACGTCGTTTGAGTTCTGTACGCTTCCAAGTAGTTTTCCCGAGGTATTGAACATTCGGATCATCTTATCAGCACAGCCTGGATGGAATTAGCATGTAAGTCTTATTAGGGCCGTATAAAGCCAGCATACCTGTGATGATTGTGTTCTCGTCATACGCCAGCACGGCCCAGACGCTTGCCTCGTGTCCCTCTAGTACGACCTCACACTCCCATTTCCCGACCCTCCATAGCCGGGCGGTGGAATCCCAGCTGCCACTGACAACCCATCTGCCATCAGGAGACACATCTAGAGCACAGACATTGTGACCGTGACCCAGAAGCATGGCATCCGCATTATCCTCCGCACCCTTGCCAGGCTGTCTGGCTTCAATTATTGCGTCTTGACCAGCCGAAAGGACAAGACCCTCTGGAAACTCGGATGTGGGGGGAACGTAGGCTAAGCTGTTGATGAAGGCACCGCCATGGGCAGCGATGGTGTAGTCATATGTGGGAGGTGGAGTGGAGACGAGCTTCCAGAGTCGAACTGTTGCATCACGAGAAGCAGAAAGGACGACATTTGGATTTGGGAAGACCACAGCGCGAACCTAGATCGGTGTCAAAACAGTGTGAGTAGTCTGCGTGGTTTGGATGCGCGGTCAATGGCATCTGGATAGAAGCCGGGTAGGAGCCTTACATCATCGCCGTGGCCTTCCAAAGTTGCGGAGAGCTTGAAGTCAGGCATACATAAAACTTTGAGGGACGAAAGAGTGAAGGAAGAAGGATCCGAAGAAGAAATAGTTCAAGGGTATCACCGCGGAATTAATGATCAATCAAGCTCCCCTGGATGTTGTTGTCCTTTAGTCGTTCCGGGGGATCGCCCCGCCGAAGCACCAATGATAATATCACGTGGGCGGTAACGCCATTTGGGGAACCTGCTAGAACACGAGGGCTTATCTATCAAAATGCAAAGGTACGGATATTTTGATTTACTACAAGGACTTATTTTCACATTCGGTGCTTCCATTAAGTAACTAATCTACCATACTAGCGAATTCCCAACCCGGAGAGTCATCTCTTACGCCTGTTGGAACATTTACAACTGCCGAGGCATGCGTTGGGCTAGATCCCCTGTTAACCCGTCGATTTACGCTAGTGGAGACTATTTGATCATCAGGTCCGCACCATTCGCAAGAATTGATGTGTTCAGCTCGAGAGTAGATTATCACCGACCACAGGCTGTCCTTGGCTCCAATGTGTATGCAATTCTGCAACAAAATGCATGAAGCTTGGTGACAAGACGTATGCTATTTAACCCCCTTGGAAATCAATATATGAGATCAAATCGAGTAAGAAAATCGATCGAGCTGTTCTCATTTCCATCAATTGAATAGTCTAGTGTACCCTGTTGCGAAACCACCATTCAATTACCCATGTAGAGATATCGACATGCGGGCAAATGGGGAGTAGAAGTAATGATTTGCTTTGGAAGGACCTCAGACTGCCAGGGGATATAAGGCTTGATGCACGATGTACGATGGTTGGAGGAAAGGAAGAAGAAAAGTGGAACCAAACAAAGTGGGGAGACCTTGGCACCATCAACCCACGTGATTAACTGTAGGAGTTCTCCAGGTCTCTCTCTAGCTAGTTCGTGTTAAAAGTACCTATATGGAATACAGAGTACAATATGTACATACTAGAATGTTCAGCCAATTGGCGTTTACTGTAGAATTAAGATGTAAAACCTAAATAATTTGAATATGCAGGTCGAGATCATATTCGAGGTGTTACACTATACATCACTATGATGTTTTTCCAATGCTGTTTGTAACATCTCATTAACTGTTGATTCAGATGCATATCAATGTCTTTTGAAAAAGAAATTACAAACAATCGTCAAAAAATACAAAACTCCATGAGCCTCACGTGTTCCAATTATACCCGAATCAGACTAGCGCATGCCTTACCTAATAGGTGATCGGCTCCAGGGCCCGTTATTGTTTGAAATTGAAATTCAATATCCCATCTACACACCGAAGGAGTTTCGAATTTCCAGAGGCCTTCTCTCCTTTTAAGGTGTCTGGTTAGAAAAAAACTTGTCCCACTTTCTTCGATCCTTTGTTCTCGGCTCCTCCTCGAACCCCACATATCTGATGACTTGACGACCCTGACGAATCTCTTATGCACCTTCCTTAGACATATTGAACTTTCTCTCGGTCTAGTTCCTGGATTTGTATCTTGATACCAAGTCGCGAACTCTGGGTTGAGCACATAGCGCCTCGCTGATCTGATTGGCTCTTTAATACCTAACAACAAAACCACTGAAAGCTCGGGAACTTCCTTCAACATTGACGAAATGACTGCCGGTGAGTGATCTGTGTAGATGGAATGAAAGCTCCTATTTTGGTATATTTACTGACAAATCTCCAACAGATATCCCCAAGGTAGTCCCTCTGACTTGCCACGGACATTCTCGTCCGGTGACGCATCTGAGCTTCTCTTCCACCGTCGAAGACGACCAATATTACTTCATCTCCTCATGCAAAGGTAAGACGCACCTGCTTCTCAGTGCTCACAACTTACCTACTCACTAACCAACTAAAGATAATAACCCCATGCTCCGAGATGGCATCACGGGAGACTGGTACGGCAAATAAGACCAAACCCAGAATCCACCCACTAACACAAAGCCCAGGATTGGAACATTCCTCGGTCACAAAGGCGCTGTATGGCAAGCCAGACTCTCAGCCGACGCCGCCATCTCAGCAACAGCAGCAGCCGATTTCTCAGCGTAAGCATATCCCCCCATCTCGCGCGAAGATTATACTAAACCCAAACAGCAAGGTCTGGGACACCTACACAGGCGAATGTCTGCACACGCTCCAGCACGCACACATCGTGCGCGCAGTAGCATTCCCAATTCAAGCGAACCCGCAAGTTCTCGCGACAGGCGGTGCGGAGAAGAAGCTTCGGATCTTCGATCTAACGCGTGGCGGGAGCTCCAGCACGGCGTCAACGCCGCCTCTCCCTTCCGCAAGCCCGGCCACTGAGAATGTGGCGAGCTATGAGATCGGTGCGGGCGTGCACGCCGGCACGATCAAGTCTATTGTCTGGAATCAAGACTACAATGTTGTCACGACGGCGGCAGAGGATCGGAAGATCCGCTGGTGGGATCTGCGGTCGCGTCATCCGATCGTTGAGTACGGCGTTGATGGACCGATTGGATCGTGCGAGTTGAATAGTCTGGCGACGAGACCTAATGATGCAGGGATTTTGACTGTTGCTGCCGGGAAGAGTGTTTATCTCTTTGATGGTGTGCAGCCGGGTCGGTTGCTTAAGAAGGTGGATTATGACTATGATGTTGCTAGTGCTGCGGTCAATAGCGAGTCTGGTCGTCTGGTTACGGGCAGTGCGAATGATACCTGGGCGAGAGTTTATGACTTGAACACGGATGAGGAGTTGGGTATGTTTCTACTTCTGGTGTGTCTTTTGGCGTTGGCTAACTTTCTTCCGCAGAGGTTCAAAAGGGACACCATGGGCCTATCTGGTCTGTCAGCTTCTCGCCCGATGGCAAGCTCTATGGCACTGGTAGTGAGGACGGTACTATCAAGTTGTGGAAGGCGTGCCGCGAACCCTATGGGTTGTGGCGGTGAACTTGATAGTCTCTTAATTGTTACAGTGTACAGAAGAAATCACGGAAGACTCTGGTATCTTCCATTTCATTTGCGGTCCTTGTTCTATAATTGGCGGCTTTTTATTGGGTTTATGCTCTATCTACTTGTATCTTGCCACCATCCATTGGTTGCATCTGGGCAAGCATCCTCTCCTGCTTTGCATGCAGGCTATATGGCAGATGCGCATCTGTTTATACCACCGACTAGACAAAGAAAGACATGAAAGACACCGAACAATGCAATCAAAATGAGACTATATCATAAGCTCCCATTTCACCGGCGTGTGGAAATGCAACGAGAGCAAAATCAAGAGCCCAGTAAGGGCAAAAAAAGAACCGAAGCAGGGAACCCGAATGTGTGATATGACCGAGTTGCAATTTGTTGGTTCAGGTAAATAAAGTACAGAGTTTCCGCCCTTGTGCCGAAGACCCTAAGCGATGGAAAGAGAGCAGAGTAGAAAAAGGCCGAGGTGATCTGAAATCATAGAAAGGACCGAAGAAGAATGCCACGGAGGCCAGAAGATCTGAAAAGCGAAAGAGAAACGAGTTTCGCATAGCTTGAGTGACAGCGAAGTATTTACTCAATCATATCGATATCATCGTCGGCAGCAGGTGCGCTGGGGGCCGGAGCAGTCTGCTGAGGGGCGTCCTGAGCAGGTGCAGCCGCTTCAGCGCCGGTGTTCGCACTACCCCAGTAATCCTCCATCTCCTGATCCAACTCCTCCTGGGTCTTGCGCGGACGGGCGTTGGACCGGCGGTTAGATCCATCAGTTTGCTGGGAGCGGTTATCGCGTCCACCACCACGTCTGCCTCCGCCGCGGCGGTTAGGAGAGCGCTGGTTGGAGCGTTGCCCAGGGACGTAACGGTCGATATTGTCTGGAGCGGGCTTGGTGACGTCGCTGCGATGAGCACGGCCACCACCACGGCGGCGTCGGCCATCTGCGCTATCCTCGGGGCTCATGCTACGGTCGTCGCGGGGGCGCTCGACGCGGTCAATAAGGCTGGATCTAGGGCGCTGTGCGGAGTCGAAGGGGTTACGTTCACGGCGGCCGGGGATGAGAGAAAGACGGATGGGCTGGCCTTTGGCGTTGGCTCCGTCATACTCCTGAATGGAGGTGTGTGCATCCTTGAGGCGGGCGTATGTGACGTAAGCAACTCCCTCAGAGCGTCCAGCGCGGTCGTATGAGACAGTGAGTTCAGACACAGGTCCGATTCGGCCGAAGAGATCCTGTTCAGCGAAGAGGCTTGTTAGGGTATACTGGCGTGGTTGGGCTGATGAAACTTACCTCGAGATCGGTTTCGGTGATGTCGTAGTGGAGGTTATCGACGCGAACCTTCGTTAGTGTGCTAGAGCTAGTAATCTAATTAGCTCTATAATCGGGAGAAGGCAACTTGATGGGAGGCTCCATACCGATCGGAATCATGTCCGTCGCGGCCTCTGCGGCCTCCACGGGATGGGCGGGCTGGAAAGCAAAATGTTAGAGAGGTCCCGGCAAAGTGCGAGAAATTCACATACATCGATCGTCGTCAAACTTGTCGTGCACCCAGTCGCTAGAAACAGAGCTGTCAGCATAATTCGTACCATAGTAGGCAGCGAGGGATACTCACAGGTTGAGATCGACACGGTCTGAAGTGTATGGCTGTTGTTATCGATAGACTTAGCGTTAGCTCCAAGTCAGATGAGGTATCGTGCAAAGTTCTTTTTCATGTCTTTGCCGTGGCGTGTTCGTTCGCAAGTCTCCGACGATCCAGAGGACTGGCTACGATTGTCACGGAGCAAGAAGAGAATTCGCAGAGGAGGAATAGGAGGGCGGACCTAGGTATCGAGCGAGATGTTAGTTTTATGGCCATGAAAATATCTTTCCGGAACAAAGCTTCAGCTTCAAGTCAGGCTGTACCTTTCTGACGCCATCGCGCTCGTGGCGACGGCCGGAGTTATTGTGACGACGAGAACCACCACCACCGCCTGAGGGACGACCCGGGTTCCGCTAAGATTGATTGAGTTAGGTGCACGTTTAGTGGTTTCATTGCTCGCTAGAGACTTACCGTGTCTTCAGCGATGATCTCGTCCA